GAAAATGTAGCTTGAAAATTTCTATTTAGAGCGACATCAAAAATCTAAGAATATCACACTTAAAGCTCTTACAAAATATTAGGTTGTTAAGTCTTGGGTCTCAAAGTCTTGGGGCCTGGGGCTGTTTCAAAGTTTCTTTAGAAATGAATATAGGGAAAACCGCAAGTCGATTGGTTGAATATTCATTTCTAAACAAAACTTTCAAACAAAGCCTCAAGATTTATGTAACAATCTAATACTATCAAAAACTAATTAGGATCGATTTATTTGAATTCGATCTAACGGGAGAAAAATGAGAAAACATTGACCGGCTAAAAACATTCTTCGACGACTGTATCTAATTTACAGGCTACTTTCACCACCTATGATAGAGAGGCTCCCATAAAGGGATTTGTGCTCACGATCGAGTCCTCCAACATCGAATATAAAGAGTTGCAATGCTGGGAAAATATGACGTTTCATTACAAAAAAGGCGATCCGGTGCTTGTATTGTCGGGGAAAGCGTTACAAAGTGAGGGAAATGATATTTTCCATTCATTTCCCTCTGTATTCAGCTAACGACCTTCGGCATATGCCACTATGCATTGATGCTGACGAATGCTTCGGTTGTTCATTTATTGTCGACGTTTTGGAATACTGTGAAACGATAATTAGTGTAAGTGAATGGGAAGAAAACAGAAAAATCCCTTCAGCTAACTGATGGATGCCAAAATAAGACGGCTATTATGTTGAACAATCGGCAATTCGATTTGAAGAATTGTACTTGGAGGTAATTCGTTGCAAAATGAGCAGTAGATTTGGGTGAAATGATCTTTGAGCGCTCTGCGTTCTGTTTTTCATGGCTTGACAAATTGGCGTTCAGCAAGGATCCGAAAACGGGAGGATTTCGTCAGAATTGCCAATTTCTCATTGCCAACTCAAGCGTGATAATGCGAATCTACGAGCATCCGGAGCGGCTCGTCAATTCGATTTTCGCCTTTCGAATCGTCGAATGGATCGATGGTTTGTATGAAAACGAATGTATGAAAACGTTTTCATGTTTATCCGTTTTACCCCATACGAATCGCTTCTATATACTGCTGATATAGGTATTAAGGTAATCTCTTTACCGGTGAGTCAGAGTGTAAGGGCTTGCTGACTTCGCCTTGCTATAAATGATTTTCTGGGCTGATTAGGGAAAGGCAAGCACTCTCTGTGGCTTTTTTTAGAACAAAAACCCATCTTATAGAATCGGCAACGCTGAGTTCGAAGCTGCTTTTAGTTTTTCCCCTCGAGGGGAAAAACTGAAGTTTTTGTCAATTGCTTATCATTGAAATGCTTAAAACAATGGAATGCCATAAAAGTTGTTAATAGAAAAGGAAAAGCAAAATGTTTGACATGAGGGGAATCGAACCATCGAACCAGAGCAAAAAAGGACCCAGTAACCTAACCAAGAGCACTATTCCCTCGGCCACCCACGCATCCACTCTTCATGGATGGCATGGAGGCCTCGTCAAAAAAATTGGCGAAAACCATAACGAACGACGACTTGTATATGATTCCTCTAAAAGATATTCAGTCGTTTACCTGAATTGGTGACAAATTGCCTTCTAATTTAGAAGATTTCCATTTACTCGACATGTCAAGATCTTAGATTACTCGTAGTTACTCGACAAAAAAAAGCGTCGATTAATCGAGTAAGAATTACTCATGCAAATTTGACTCGAGTGATTATTTACTCGCAGGAAACACACTCTACTTCCTAGTGAGTGTTAAAGATTTTTGTCACTTTAAAATGGTTTAAATGTTTGAAAGAGTGTTTGAAAGATAGTAGGATGCTATCTTATTTAGTAAACAACGTAGTAAGCAGTATTTAATACTTAGTAACAATCGAATAGTATTTAGTAACAACGTAGCATTTAGTAAACAACATGCTTTAACAGAAACAAAAAAAATAATCCCTATCAGACTCGACGTTATTCTTCTTGGCCGCTCCCAACTTTATGAGCGAACCCGGAACAGTCGATTATGAAGAGGGACTCGAGACTTGGATGAGCTACCGATTAGACGGAGATCACAAATCGCCACTTTGGGCGACTTTCGTCCTGTTGCGATACGAAGGAGCGGTCAACACACTCGAGGAGCTCAATTGGGTTTGCGCTTTCTGCATCTTTCGCCAAATTTTCCCTGAAACCCAATTTGTTTCTCCAAGTTCCATTTTTGTTTGTTGCAGAAACGCGGTGACTCGGCGTGTCGATACGACTTCATAATCGGGCCCCCACCATACAATGGGACATATTCGGATCGACATTTGCTCACTTTCAGGTCATCATTGTATTTGGTTCTTTGAATTTATTCGTCTTCAATTGGCCTAATTGTGGCTCCTTCAACCTCTTTCTCCAAGCCTTTCAAACCAAAGATCTACTCTTCTACTTTTCCAAGATTAACTCAAAAATTACTTTTAGAAAATCAATCGATCTTCTCATTGGTAAAAACCGTAGATGATTTGATACATTAGTTATTTCTAAAAGTAAAACCTTGTGAAGTGTTATCAAGAATTCGAACTCAATGTAATACTATCAGAAAGCAAAAATGCTTCAACAATAACTTCTAGCGACGATCAGCCATTCGTTCCACAGCCCCTCGAGGCCAAGGTCTACAGTGTTCTCGTGCCGGTCGGATGTGCGCCCAGCCTATCCGTCAAGTCGTATAATGCCCCTGATGGTAGAGTTTTTTGGAACGTTTACTGGTGACAATTCCCATTGATAGGCTTCATCCGACAGCATGAGAGTTGTCAAGGAACAGTCGCCGTAGCCACACAGGGGTTTCACCAATTCGGCGACGAAATGGCCGAGAATTATGAGCTGCAACAAGAACTGCATTGTGGTGAGATTTCACAGCACCAGTGCTCATTGTTGCAACTTGCCGCGGTCGACTATCATCACCACAGCAAGATCGACAAGAAATTGGCTCAATCAGAGTCGAGAGACTTACAGATTTGAGCGAGGTGATCGTTCTGATTCTGATTAGTTGATTATCTTTGAGCATCCTTGACCTTTAATATGAAATGGCTTGAATTTTATGCGAAAAGGTAAAAACCCGTTCACTCAATAATCTCCCTAGGTGCTTGGCCTGTTGTTCTCACGTTGGAATTTGTCGAGATACTCAGTGGACGGCTTGTCATCAATTTCAAATCAACGGATGGGGGCAATTTGGAGCACGAAAAGTGAGATATCTTGCTGATTATAAGAGAGAGTATGTCTTTTATGTGATTTTAGAAAGAACGGCTCCACCGATTCGGCTGAAAAATTGGCTATACGTGTAAAATTTTATCTAATTTCCAAAAATCGAATTAGTTTTGGGGTTAGTGAGACCGTTTTTTGTAAAAAGCCGAATTACTGAAGCTCCGAGTGGTCTAAGGCGTCGATCTGGCGCTGGAGAGAGGGCTGTTGGTTGGACTCCCCTGCTGCTCAGAATGGTTTTTTCAGCTTTGTTTTTGACAGAAATTGGTCAACTGCAGTGAATATAAAAGGACAATTTTGTTAAATTTATTAGCTGAAATACTAAAAGATTTACAAATCTGATTTTCACATAAAAAAGTATAACTTTGATGGTTCCTTGAACTCCGTAAGGCTCCGACCATCCAACAGTTAACTGCCGGTGATCACAATGAACGAGTCGGTTCAAAATTTCTCATTACAGGATCATCTGGAGTGCAGATGGTCCGAAAATACGGCCCAACAAGACGATCTATGGTGCAAATCTGGCTAATGTGGGCATTCTCGGATCAATTCACAAAACATTTCGAGGTTTCGTTCGTGTGGACTCTCGCCGAGACACCGGAACCAAGCCTCACCCAACAGGAAGGCTGTTTTGTGCGAGTGCACATAATGAAAGATCCGGGATACAGCCGAAAAACTCAAACCGTTACCTATCAGCAAAACTCAGCCGTCCAAGCTGTTCCTCACTTTTTCCTGACAGAGAGCTTCTGTTTAGTCGGATTTTTTGATGCCGAATCTATCTGTCGGTTTTTTCTCTTATTCGATTCCTTCTTTGTCTGTTCTAAATCTAAATGGTTGTTCGGTTATGACTCGAAGAATCTTTTGAATTGGTCATTGATTTGTCCATTTTGTCCATTTTGTCCCCTATTTCCTATTTACGTGATTTGCCTCTTTTTGGGTTCATCCTTTTGGATTCCTTGCGTCTTTTTTCGAAAGAAAACTTTATTCTCAAACATTCACAAAATGAGTTTATCCTCAACAAGGCACTGAATGCACAAAAATTTGACAAGAAAATGTGAAAAGAGATTTTTTGGAGGTATTGGAAAGTTTTTTGATAGTTTTGAGGAGATTTGATGAAGATCAAGTACAACAAGACATCCAGCTAAAGTGAAAGAAACAAGAGCCGTGGATGGAGATGAACAACAGACAAAGGATTTCGGTAGTTCGATACTTGAAATCACTAACAGTCACGTCAATCATTACAACAACTTCGGCAATCTACGACTATGTAGTTGAGTTGGCTAAGCTTAGCTTATACAATAATTAACTTGAAACTTCAAAGCCATTTTCGAGGCAATTGAAAAATTGCAGGAGGAAAGAAACACGTTACATTTATAAGGTTTTTTGATCATTTTTCCCCTTAATTTATGGATTTACTGTAATAGATTCATGTTTTGACTTCAAAATTCGTCCTACATTTATTCCTAAACCCGAAAGCAATACAAGAAAGGCACAAAACGGACCAGAATGAGAAAATTTCAGTGACACTTTGCGGAATGGCAATTTTTGGGGCTTTGAAAGATCATTGCGAAAGCAGAAAATGAGAAAATTTCATCACAAAACTGAGATGAGTGGAGAAAGGTGCATTGAAAAGCAAGCTTTTGAAAGCAAATCAATCAAATTAAGCTCACCTTACAATTAGTAGGGACAAGAGGAAAAAGAGCTATTCTAAAAATACTGCAATCAAAAATAAAACTAATCACAAAGATCTACAGCTATCGAGCAATATTAAGTTTCTTATTCATGTGGTTTTTGAATTTCCGATGGAGTTCTAGCTTTCGAGTCATTTTTCATGGAAAGTTGAGCCATCGGCGTCAACAGGACTGACTCGGGAGATAGAGGCTCGTTCTAAATTAAACTATTAAATTAAATTTCGCAATTAAACGCATTTTCTAATATCATTTAACTGATCAGCGCACTAGACTTGCTATTCGATCGAAATTCTGTCAGATAGAATCGGATCGAATCGATCATCCGAGGCAGTCCGATTTCGATCCAGCTATTCGATCGGATAGCAAGTCTAACGCGTCGTAAAAACTGATTTTAACTGAATTTTTATTGAATTAACTGAATCTTTCGCATTTTTATCGGATAATTTCCATTCCAATAATACAAAATTTGCGTTTGAAACCAAAAACTAAATGCTAAGTATAAAAAGTATGTTCTTGAGCTAATCCGATCCTTTCTGTCGAATGGATCGGATCTTACGTTATTGAGTCGATCGATCGAAAACAAATCTTACGTTATTGAGTCGATCGATCATCTTCATCGCTTTGAGAGCCAGCTCGAAGTCGAATTTCTCATCGTCATCCAAATCGATTGGTCGGTTCTGAAATTTTGACCTTAATTTTGCAGCAGGGTCGTTTAATGATGAAACTATTGCTACCAAAACATTGCATCAAAAATCAGTGGTACCATTTAATGCAAATTCAATGATGCCAGAATGGTCTCATCACGTTTGCAACAACTATAAGGTAATACCTTCTCTAAAGCTTGCACTTTCTACAAAGTCTATTAACTGTACAATTTTACGAAATTTGTCTACCTTATCAAGAAGAAATTGAACTCTCGGTGGAAGTTCTTGAGCGATTCCATCTGAAGAAATCGGAAGACCGCCAAGACGGGTCGGTCGCGAGATTGGGACTGTTAGAGTAGGGCACGGAGTAGGGATTTCCTGGAATTTGTTCAAAGTTATTATTCTTGTTAGCTTGTCCTACCTTATCTCCTACATTTCCCGTTGAGCGCTTTCGTTTTTCGTTGGAGAAGTCCGTCTCTTTGCTCTCCATTGCTTGAGACGATTGGAAAGCTTTGCAAACATTTTGTGATGAATCTAAAGAATTGAATAAAGATAGGTTAGAAGTCGATAATGAAATGAAATCCAGTTAGAAAAACCCACCGTTAGGCGAGTTTTTCGGCTGATAAAGAAAATATAGCTTTAGATTGTAGAGAAAGACGTCTATAAAGATTACAACTGAAGAAGATCTTGTTAGACTTAAAAAATGAAAATTTTAAAAAGAGAAGATTCGAGGGCAAATTTTTCGGAATGAGTGGTGATCGACACGCCCATTCTTGTCCTTTTCTTTCTTTTCCTTATCAGTGAATTATGCAAGGAAACATCGCAAGCTTTTCGCAAAAATTGGCCAAAAAACTTGACTCAACACGGTTAAAGATAACAAATTAGCCAAAGTAAGATTTATTTTCGAAATATTGGTAGCTATAAGTATGATGAAATCTCAAGGAAGAGGGGTGGAACGCTTCGAAAAACGGCGCAAAGGTGGGGATGGGCTGGAAAAAACACGAAAGGACAGAAAAGAGAGCCATCCCGGCGCCCCGTTCTCCTTTTTTCTCACTTTTCTCTTTGCAAGGTGTGATTCACGACAATTACTTGGTTTGAGATTGCTGAAAATGTTGTAAAAGCTTGAAATCCTAAAGACAGATCTAAAATATAGGCCAGTTCGAATGTAGTGCTTTCAAAACAGGAAACAGGAAACAAGAAACAGGAAACAGGAAACGATTCCTGGTTCAAAACAAAAATTCTGAATGTATCCAAAACTGTCTGGAAAGCTCTTGTCATTCAATGCAAATTTCGAAATCGTATAGCAATAGTATTCAATAATTCTATAAAAGGAAAATATTTTGATACAGATTTTACTTTCAACTTTCAGCTCATCCAACAAAAAGAGATGATTCACACAGATTATTTTAGAGCTATCGAATTTTGGGAAAATTGACTTTGAAGCTTTTGTTTGTTTTCATAAAAATCTCCATGAGTCAGAGCCAGTTTTGGAATCTATCCATTGAAATCACAAATTTACATTTTAATGCAATTTAGTAACAAAGAAAAACAATGTCTATCGAAAACAAAAAATGTCTATCGAATCACTCATTTATCTCCCGAATCCCGGGAATCATCGTGACGGCATTTCTTGTGACAACAAATACACTCAAAGATTCCAATGCAAGTTGGGTAGCTGAATAAGATTGAGTGAAATTCAATCTTTGATCTCACTTTTCTGTTTCCCATAAACAATCCCGAAAACTCTTCGTTTCACAAATTTTCGATAGCTTTTGAAAAGCACAAAATTCAGCGTTGTCATTGCAGCGCCTTGTTGTGAGAAAATGACTGTCGCCCAAATTGAGTAACCTGGAAAGTTTATCGATTTTTTTAAAATCCAGTTCCATACATTTCTAGAGCTGTCATTTATTTCAGAAATTTTTCTCACTCACCGGCCAACCAAATTTGTTGCGTAAAATAAGTGAAAAGGCCATAAAAAAGCGGCGTGAAAACCATTGCACAAAGCACTAGGGTCTGAAAGAATTCCAAATGCAAAAATTGCATAAATTGCACAACAAAATCAATATTACGATCGTTTCCTTACCTGAATGCATAAGTTTTGAAGCCATTTCTTTTGCATTCTCACAGTCTTCTCGGAAAGCATCAATTGTTGAGTTCGAAAGGCGTGAAATGAGGGAAGAGTGGTGACTGGAAATGGGATTTGTTTTTATTCATATTAATCGAGTTGAGATTTCAAATCTGATTTGATAAGCCAAATTGCCGTAATCGATTATATATTGTCCCAAAAATAGGACTGAAATTCCCACTGGAACTCGAGTTATGAGGTGAATGAACAGACACACACACACAAAATTTGTAAGTAAGTAAGTGATAAGTAAGTAAGATAATAAATAAGAATATAATAAATAAGATTATAATAAGTAATATAATAAGATTTGTATATCCTTTTATCAATAACTTACATCCAATCAATGCGCCAGCAACGAGCACCAAAAGAAACAAAATAAGCGCGATCGCTGTGTCGAAACCGTCCTGAAACCCGAAATAGTTGGGATTTGAGATGAATTGTTGAAGTTGAGGATATCTCTGAAAGTATTATCTTCTTCAGAAACTTCAGAAAAATCAAATACGCTTAAAAATTTACCAAAGAAGAGCTCTTAATTGCTTTCTTCACATCATTCAAAGCGCACATCAACGAAACGGCAAATGACAGCAAGATTGGACCGATGTACAGAAATTTTGTAGCCCATTCGTGAGCTCTAAACGTGTTTTTTGAGCCTTCAGAAAATTTTCCTCACATTTTACAAAGTCTAAACGGATGTTCTTGATGCAAAGCAGCTTGTTGCCGCTCGAGAAAGATCACGATTTTTGCTCCAAACAATGCTCCAACAAGATAAATCCCGATTGTCTAAAGTTTACCCTAAAGTTTACCCTTTTACAAGATATTTTACAAACCAGTTGAATTTCAGTAGAGATTCCAAAGTCTGTCAAGATTCCGATAGAGAAGCCGCCAGTATCCGGAAATGCGAGAATCGGTAAGGCTAGACCACCAATCGCCAAATCGGTTACAAGAGAGTAAACCTGGTTTCGAAGAGTTAAATGCTTTTCTGAAGACCCTACTTGATAAACGATAAGATAACGTCTATAGTGAGCAAGCATACGAGGATTCCCATAAATGACAGCTACTAGGCCGACGAGATTCAATGCACAGCCGAAGACTGAATGCACTCATTGATATAATTCCCCGTTAAGAACTTGTATTAGGCTTTCTAGAAAGTCTTTTCGTTCCTCTTCATATTTCCGTTTAAAATCAACAAATGCACCAATTAACCTATGTTTTGCTAAATTGAAAGTGTTTATTGTTACCTTGCCATATTGTTGTAGTAATACCGGATACTGGATTCGGTTTTCACGTTGTTTTTAAACCTTACTGACTCACTCGAAACTATCCGAACCCAAAAAGCGATTTTTCCATACGAACTGATATCAATAATTTCCATAGAACATCAATAATTTGATTGAAAATAAATTTTGAATAGAAGTAGGTAATTAAAATCTGTTTCTCATTCCCAGAAAGTGTTAGGGACAAATTGAGCAGGTGTTTTTGCTTTAAAAGGAAAAAGGCTTATTCATTAAACGCGAACAGCCCCCGGTTTTGCTCTTTCCTCTCCAAAAAGTCATGAGAATCGAGACGTTTTTGAAAATACAATTAACGGCTGAATATTATGTTTGGGTGGAATGACGGAAGTGGAATAGATTCAAAATATTCTCTCTCTTCTCAAAGAAATATTTATTTGACTTGAGATATTGGATAGAAATCGGATATTTACTGGGATTCAGCTTTTGAAGTGCTTATCAAACGAGATGAACTTCGTGGAATTGTAGCTAAACGAATGAGTGTCAATGTTCTTTTAAAAAAACCAACCAAATAGACTACAAAACGAGAAAGTCTTCAGAAAGAAAGAGCGCAAAAAATCTTGAGGTACAAAGTAATTTACAAGAAAACTTTCTACAACTCTAATCAAGCTCATCAACAAATTCACTTTCGGGCTTTTTCGTAATCCTCTCCATTGATATCTCCTCCAATAGAATCATCTCATCTCGTGCGATAAAAGGATCATTCTTCAGCATTGATGAAGCACTAAAAAATTTGTTGTCTATACACAGGTTTGGTGAGCTCAATTTTCAGAATACTTTATCCTCTACTGAAAGATTTGTTCACAAGCTTGACTTCATTGACTCACATCTTTCGCAAGCGATTCGAAATCGGGGCAATCTTGGCACAAAGAACGATTGTGAGAATTGAGAGGAGAAATTGAGCAGCCGCACAACCACACATCCCTGAAAATTGAATAATTTTAACTATATATACAAAGAGTTCTTACCAGCATCTAAGCGAACATCCAATCCGAGACGAGTCAACTGAGAACGTCTGAAAGTGATTTAAATATTAGCTATTACCGCGATTTCCCCGGCTGGTGTAAGTTCCTGGGCTCGGGTTTAGAGGTTAAACCCACCATACCACTTTTCCACCGCCCCAGACACCTCTTTATTCACCTCTTTAGACCTTTTCACGTATCATTTCACAGCCCGTGCCCGTTTACAATTCAAATTGTGTTAATTGCATATGATTTCCTTGAAATCATTAGTAGAAACTTTATCGGGGACGAGTAAACGAAGGGGAAAGTTAACAGAACACCAAAATTAGATAAAATGAAAGGTTACTGGGAAGATCCGAATTGAATTAGATCAGATCCGAAGTCGCGACTCTCCTATCAAAAATGAGAAGAAAAATGAAATGAAAACAAAGATCAAATCAACTGACAAAGGGTACGGTAGCCGGGGCATGGTATAGAATCTTACCCGTGAATGGCGGGGTTGTCCGTTCTCAATTCTAGCTTGTCAACTTAAAGACTTTAAATATTCCTTAAGTACAAGCTTAACATTGTTTACCTTTGCTCATCAATACTTGATCCACAAATCACTTCACAGCGACCATTTGAGGGAAATGATGGAGCCAAGAGATTCCAATCACAAGCACCTGCAATTTTGACTCTTGTTTAGAAAATAATAAGACTCACCCCAGCATTGATGCTTCAAAAAAGTGATATCAATTGAGGAAACCGCGATTAAAGCTGGTGCAAAAATTAGAGCTAAAGCTTTAATTTCGATTAAACAAGTTGAATAAGTTGAACAGGTTGAACAGGTTGAACAAGTTGAACAGGTTGAACAAGTTGAACAGGTTGAACAAACTCACCTCCATGCACACCCATGACGAGCACCAGAATGAATAAAGTGTGACGAAGAGCTGAAGCACCGCAAATACCTTAATTTTTTTGAGTTCTAGCAGTCGACGATCGTAAACGGTAATACTTTGGACAAAAAAAATTCACCCAGAGCTCCCATTAGAATGAAATAGAACGAGCAACACTCCTCAAGTCCATACAAACGGAAAGTATTCAAGGAGAATGAGAGATAAGTGGCCGTACAGGAGAGAATCATCATTGTCAAACCGACAATAACCTCAAATCGGCATACGATCTATAAACCATAGTTTATGGCTATATGCGTTTTAAATGACCCCTAAAAACAATGAAATATTATGTTGCAACTGTTGTACTCGTACTTTATCAATAACTTTAGCCAATCAACCTTGAGAGCTCGAAGAAGTCGATGTTCGCCTTTAGTGAGCAACGGTTTTGCAATATTTGGATAAAATTCATCCATTGGTTCAAAAGATTTGCCAATCAAATTGAAAAGCTTGAAAAAGCCGATTGAATTTGTACAAAATGCTACTATTTTTGCTTTTGATGGGAAGAAAAGATCGAAATCAGTGAAATGTTGATGTTTTCGCGGGGCAACAAGCTGGAATGCCTCGTTGGTAAAAGAAAAAAACATCGATGGAGGAGAAAATAGATAAGAAAGGATAGGAGAAAAGAAAGATCAGCTGAAACTTTGTTAAAAGATTCTAAAATAAGAGATTGTTTAGCTGCAATGACAAGTACTTACTTTGCTAATCCTTGATCCCAGTGGCCAGTCGATTGAGAGTAAACCACGTTTCCTCTAAAAATATCGCCTCGAAGCTAAAAGCTTAAAGTAAGAAACAATTATTAAAGAGCTAACTCACCTCACGGTCTTTACGAAAATGAAGGTCACACGTTAAACCACTTGTCGAATCAACTCGCAACTTGTCTAAGTAGTTCACCTAAAAGAGTTAAGTGGTAGAAATAAGAAAAACAAAAGCAACTTTTTTTGTTGGGGTTGGTGGCATTCTCGATAAAGGTTTTCACTTTCTCGATCGAGTAGTTCTCCTCACCATCATTTGTGGCCAACTTGATTTACCTAAAAAAAACTGTTTAGCTATTTACAAACAAAACTTTCTAAACCTCAATAGTCGAAGAGATCTTAGCTGTGTTCATAAGTCACCTGAAAAGTAATTTGGATAGATTCATAGATAGGTATGCATCTACTCTATAGCTTTATCCTGAAATGATACAGTGGGTGAAAGGCCAGCCTTATCAACTCTGTCGTCTCTGTCGTCTTTCGAAATGAATAATTCTTTACAAAAAATTTGCTAACTATAGGATTTCATTAATCTTGTGTAAATTTCAGAATTTGTAAGATTAATGTGACTGGTTTATGAGAGGTTTGAAATAAAAATCGGGTATAAAAGGTGAATTGTCCAATTTCAACTCGAGTTTAATCATTCCTTCAGCCTATCACAATGTCAGTCCATCAATTCACTGAGCCCAAGATATTCTTTCAAGAAGAAGAGTGAGTTTATGCAACTGAAACTTTAACCTTATTTAACCTAGTATTTAACCTTAACCTAGTAGAACTTCAAAGTTTGAGTAACAGAGCGCTGTCAAAGTTTTTAAAAAAACTTTTAAAAGATTTCAATCAATTTTTCAAACTATCTTAGTGGCTTCAGCAAGTTTAATATCAAAACATCAATCAAAACATCAACTTGAACTTCAGCGAGCCAGCCATTGTCGTCGACGACGATTCTGATGATGAATTCGGTGAGGTATCACTTCCCATCTATGCCAGAGATGATTGATCTTCAAGTTTCTTTAAGTTCTTTTCATTAACGATCTCTTTGCTTGGAGATTATGGTGCTTTTATTGAATGAAATAAATACCTTTAACTGAATGTATCAAGCCATTAGCTTCTATGAATCAATTACAGAAAAAGTGTGCTTTAGCTTGTCAGAAAGTTGCTTTAATGTGTAAATTTTTTGCTTTAGCAATTAATGAAAATAATTTGCACTTCTTTATTAACTTGAAATCTCTGATCTCTGATTTCGTTAGTCCAAACCATCCAGTAGATCGATCACCCTTTCTTTTGGTTTCAGCAACGTGAACTTGAACTCCTTATCGTAGAATATCGGCACCAATGAGATTTTTGGAATCAAATTCAGTTTCACAATTTTCGAGGCCTCAATCGTGAACAGTGTGAAGTGGAAATCTATACATGGAATACTCTCAAACTCACTACAATTCGATGGAGTGTCAAGCATTAACAGCTCTTCAATTTTCCCGTTCATTTTCACCTTGATTAATGAAAAGAGAAAGTAATTTCCTCTTGAAAACTCTTCACTCAAATTCTCTGGATCATAATCGATGACTTCGATTCTCTTCTCTTTTCTCAGGGCAATGTCCATTCCGATTCGAAAGTTGGCATAGAACTCTAGGTAACGTCTCATGTCGTTACTTGAGCACTTAAAGTAGGATAATTTCATCTGATAGGGAATCTCTTCTGGATATGGTACTCCACAAATTAATGGACATGTTTCAGAACACAAACAGTTTGATCGAGGAGGATTTTTCAACTGGAAAATGTAACCGGGATAAGCCGAGTCTTTGAGTTTCAGTCGATCTACCATTGGTTTCATTGTTGAATCGACCTCGGGTGGTGGTAGAATAAAACTATCGCACTTGATCTCTAGTGATGTTCCCAATTTTTTGAGCTTTTCTTCTAGGGAGTTGACTAGCATGTAGATGTCTAGCGGTTCGTCACTCAAATAGGTCATCTCCTCGCATTCGTCGAGCGTTCCGACGATCGACTCGATGTCGAAACGTTTTCCCTTTTCCAATCGCCGTAGATACAACTGTTTAGGCACCTCTCGACCTTTAAATACCTTTGACAAGGCTTGCCAGAGTTGTTCGGTGTCTGTCGTTTTGTCCCAATAGGTTCTCACCGTTTTTAGGTCTTTTGAAACGAATTGACATTCTCGACCCTCAACGTATCGTAAGAGTAACCACTCTTCTCGGGTGTACGTGGAAAAGTAGCACTTGAAGTAGATCCGCCTTGTGTAGCAGAACTTCTTCAAGTTGCTCAGAATGCTCTTCATATTGAGCAGTTCTCGATAGATCAACCAGCCACCAAAATTCGTTTTTCCGAGATCGTCGATCAACTCAAATGTATTATGATAGTGTTGTAGTTGAGAAATGTAGTCAATCATCAAACAAGCGGCAAACAGAATTTCTATGTTGTCTAGATCCATTTTGTCTTTCATTTCATCGATCCCGTGATAATAATACGAGTTAAAAGTTTGAAAATGGAACTCAATGTAGTCAGAGATTCGACTCGTGAACTCATCTCGGTCCTTTTTCGAGGCAGTGAGAAATTTCGCAAAGAACTTTTCGCGTTCTTGGTCGGAGCCTCGAAGCTTTGGGAAGTATTTTATGGCCTTTTGGTTTTGATCGCTCTTTTCATTACTTGATGCATTTGTCAAATCGATGGATGGATCTGGAATCGACAGAGATGGATCCTCAAATCGAATGGGGATTCTCGCCTTTGAAAACTTCTCGTCAAAACCGATTGGTCGAATTGGGATTTTATGGTCCTGTTGAGCTTCGGGAAGGAGATCGAATTCGAGAAGGGTTTTGTCCGTCTGAAAAATTCCGTTTCTTTTGCTCACTATCAAAATTTAGAGGTAACAAAGCGAACTTTGAATGATAATGTCGATCGGAACTGTTTTACAACCCACTTTGATTAGGTCTTTGATTTCTTTCATAGCCTCGGAGATGCTAAATCGGTCATCGTAGTTGAAGTTGACACAACTAAACCTCTTTGAAGCTAATTTGTATAGCTTTACTATTAGTTCTCACCTCTCGACAAACTTTTTGAAGTTCCCCCGACACATTGGAGAATCGAGTTGAATGAAATTTTTCCCTAAAATATCTGCGTGAAACTGGACCTGGTTGAAGTACCATCCATCTTGCGTTTTCTCATCATATTGAGAGAGAACACGTCTGAAAGTGGGGATTGTTGCTGGATTGTTTTAAGGACCTTCTCTCGATCAGTTCCCACAAGATGAGACCCAAACTGTAGACATCGTTTTTGTGGGAGAGCTGAAAATAACGAGTTGAGTGGCTCTGTCTTTTATGAATACCGTCAAAGGGTGTGCTTTGATTTTCCCCTCTTGCCAGTCGATTTTCGGTGGACTTGTGTAGCGGGCTGTTCCGGCGATGGAGGCTCCCGTCAATGTTCCCTCGATTATTTTGCAACTGCCAAAGTCGCCGAGTTTCGTGTTGTAGAATGCTGTGACAAAAACGCTAAATTCGATTTTAACTTTCAAAGTATAAACTGAAGGAATGCTACTCGATTTAATAGGTTTACTATTAAAGTTTAAATTTTTTCTAACCAATAACCAACAACCAAATACCAACAGCTCGGGAATTGGTTGAGTTTTAGATTTCTCGATGAATACATGTATTTTCAACGTCATTGAGAAATGTAAACTCTGAACCCACTTGTCTGGCTTGATATCTCGATGCACAATGTGGTGCTCTTCCAAGAACTCGAGTGCCCCGAACAACTCCCGCGCCCATTCAACAACAGAACGAATCGAGTAAACGATTGTTTCGTTGACAATCACTGTAATGTTTGTTGTATCGAATCCATTGAAATAACCTACAATCCTTTAGTGGTCCAAGTTCACAATACTCTAACAGAATGCCGAATCTCCCGTTTGCTCCCCTCCTAGTGCCGATGTAGCCGACAATGTTTGTGTGAGTGAGCAATTCAAGAGTGTCCCTTTCTTTCAGGTAATTCTCGGCGACATCCTCTTCCACGTACTTGACAACGCATTTTCTGAAGAGTTTTGTCTAATTAGATTAGCATTATCTAAAGGTGATGCCTCTAAAAATTTGTGAATCGTTTGCTCTTACTAGCTTTGATAAATGATTGTAAACATTTCAAAATATCAACTCACTGTCCGTTTTCTTCTCGTAAATAAACGTCGCCAAATGAGCCTCTTCCGATCCAAACCTCCATTTATGAGTTTTTTTAAAAATTTAAACAGAATTTAAATCAGAAAGTGTTCAAAGAAGCAATATGAGTCAGTCGAAAGGTGGAAATCCAATTGATTTTTTACTTGTGCTTTTCATTGCACAATGAAAAATGAGGGCTGTCTTTTCGAAGGGGATTGATTCTTCCAATTGATTCGAAGGGGATTGATTCTTTCAGTTGATTCGAAGGGGATTGATTCTTCCAATTGATTCGAAGGGGATTGATTCTTCCAATTGATTTGAAGGGGATTGATGCTTCCAATTGATTTTTAACTTGGGCTTTTCATTGCACAATGAAAAATGAGGGCTGTCTTTTCGAAGGGGAAAATGTTGAAAGAGAAATGGGGAAAATCAATTTGAATGACTATACGAGAAAAAAGGCTGATTCGAAAGTTTTTGCTACCTTAACTGTTCTTGATAACTTTTTTATGAGGAATCTTTGATTAAAAATTCTCACTTGACAGATTTTTTCGCTAAACTTTGAGAGAATTAGGCGTTCTGTTATGTTCGTTTTTGTTGATAAACAGCTTACTGTAACTCAATATAACAATTTAGGTTAAAAGCCTTGGTTTTTTTGACTTATATATAACGATTTTCAATATAACGACTCCATTTCGCGGTCCCGACAGAGTCGTTATATCGAGAGTCGACTGTATCAGATTTACTAAGATTAATTTGATTCAAAGAGCTAGCTGAATTCAGTCTGGTCAACATTAACTACTGGGCCGTAAAATATTGTTAGCCAACTCTTCAATTCCATAAAGAACAACAAGATAAAGCAAAGAAAAGAAACAAAAGTCTACTGTAACACAGTTAGGTAATAGAAAAAGTTAAACAAAGACATTTGTCTCACTAAAGTACGCCAAACAGTTCTAAACACAGTGTTTTGTGCAAGTTTGTTGAGAATCTGCTGTGAAAAATTTATGGCAGTGATTTGAAATAAAAAGACATTTACTAAGAATAGTACTAATCATAAATGCTTCTTGACAAGAGTCCACTTATTTCTGGACACAGAGTCCATTGGCAGTGGTGCAGCTGATTGTGGTAGTGTTGGTACATGCAGCACAGTCGTTGGCCGTTGAGTACACTAGCGATCCCGATGTAAGACCGCTGAAACATTGATTTGGATAAGTTTGCAGTTTTTTGGCAAAGTTGGCCAGGTTACAAGGGTTTTGGCTTTTAATAATTGAGATACCAAATCAAAATGACCAAAACATTGACCAAAACAGTCCAACAATGAGTTTAATCGGACTAGCTAGCATTGGGCCAGAGCTATATTTTCTCTTGAGCCCTACCTTGGATTGAAACGACAAAGCACTGCGAATGTTCCCCGAAGCAGTGGTTCCAGTGGCTCCAGTAGTGAAGTTACGGTAAGCACATCCAACTTTTCGAGCTTGGCCGGAAGCAACCTGATAAAATACTTTGCTAAACAGTTATATTTGTTTATATATGTACCTGATAAGCAAAATTTCGATTCTTTTCATTGGTGTGAAGAGCAATGACGAGATTTGGATCGTAGTTCATTTGTGGGAGACCGATCTCTTTGATGTACCCGTACCAGGCCGTGTTCCAGGCAGCACCGACTAAATTATCGGTAATAATTCACTTTTTCGATAAAATCAATATTATTAAGTTTTCAAAGCGTACACATTTGTCTAGCTGTCTTTCCATTTGTATCAGTTTTGTAGATTCCATAGTGGACATCTCCTTGTGTTGCTGGAACTGATCCACCCAATGTTTGAGAGCTCAAACTAAAACTTGTAACTTGTAGATCGTATTCGAAAAAGCCGGTTTTCGAATTTGACAGTTTGGTATTGGTTGAATGTGTAGTATCTTTCCAGGTACAGGTCTGAAAAATAGCAATATTTTGATTAACTAACGGTGTATTTTGGTCCAATGTGTTCAATCGAGTGGCCGCTGCTGTCGCTAAACCAGCATCCCATTTCTGAAATAGATAAGTATCGAGTGCAATAACTAGCAAAAAGGCAAATGTTGATACAGGCAAATCAAACCGAAAATCTAATATCAACAATGATAATTACAGCTTTTACATTATAAACCCACCATTTGGTACATTCTCGATGCTCTTGGATAGGTCCTGTTAGGGTATTCACCATGCTGAAAGAATTTTAGAGATATTAGCTAATATTTGATCTCAAACCGGAATATTGTAGTAGTCATAATAGTCCTCAATCCAATACGACCATTTTTCTTTCCCTAGAGCCATTCTCGACCTCATGTTGTTCATGGTCTAAATTTGAGCTTTACATGTACATTCCACAGTCATGACTCATATCAATCAGTAATATCATTAGGATAATCAATAATTTGATCTTCAAAAGCTTACCGCGATGATGTTGGTTTGATCAGCTGCGGCAAAGATCACTGCAGCGGCGGAGGCGACTAAGGTGGGATTTTTGAGAAAGAGACCCAAAATTTAAATATTTTAAGAATCTACAGCTAGTTACTTAGTTCAGATTCACTAAATCCACTTAATCTATACCCTCCTCAATGTATTCTCATAGTGATTCAGGTACTCTCGACTTCTTTTAACAAGTAAAACAGTTGTTCAATCATTTTTCCCATTCTGCTGCTTCTTACAACGAGTCGTATGCTTTTAAGCATTCTAGTTAAGTACTTTACATACTTTAAAAAATCAAACAAAAGTCAACCTCTGATTTCATGATTGTAAAACACTCTAGTAACTTACGCTCTATAAACACCTAATACGATATTAGCACTACATGCTAAATAAGAGCCTGCTCGCCACGCTAAATGCGCTAAATGAGAGCCGGCATATCCGAGTATCGCGTATGCTATTCGCTATAATATTCTACTTCTGCCGTAATTCGGTTATTTATGTTAAATAAGAATAGTAATCGTTATCTTACTGTAGAAAAGTAGAAAAGAAAATTCACTTACCTGAGACGAAGAGGAGAAGTCCAAGAATGAGCTTCATCTTTGTTGATTGTTGACTGTTGGATGTGTTCAGTTGACTGATGTCTTCCTCTTCCAAATGTTCCTCTTTTATATCCTTCCATTTCTCTCTTTGATCTTTTTCTTTTAGTGTGAAGCTTTCAAAGACCACTCCCCCGCACATCCATTCATTCAAAGCCTCTATTTTGGTCGAAAATTTTGCAGATAACTAGATTAGTTGTATCTTTCAAACTATAAGCTCTGGAATTCTCTGAAATTCTCTGAAATTGAGCCATTCTCTGTAAGACTCTTCATGTACTGAACGTACTGAACGATCAATGAGGCCAGATCAAGTGGAAACTTCAAAAGAGGTACAAATTGTGTCCAATTGAAATGAAAGGGAAACGATCGACGATCATTTGAATGTAGTTTACTCATTATTGCAGTTGATTGAATAGATGGAAAACTGATTCAAAATTGAAAACGAGCAAGCAATACACAGTTCAGTGTATTGCTAGACTACAAGCTCAATAATAGAAACTACGGAGTTCGATACCGTAAGTTGTGCACCTTTCTGATAGTACAGTTGGAATTCATTATCTCCCAATTATTTACTACTGAAGTCTCCTCTTTGATCATGCATAAATCCTGTAATAACATGTCAATCAATTCGAACCTGACAGTTAAACTGGGTCTTAGCCAATCCCTGACGGTTAAACTGGGCCTTAGCCAATCCCAGATTCGACTCCTTCCATGACATTGTTCTTTTTCATTTATTTAAATAACCCTACAACTTTGTGATGCGAATCCAAGGTTCGTATGCAAATCAAGTTATGACTAACATCAATTCCAGATGACTAACATCAATTCCAGAGAAAACGTGTCTGATTGGAATGAAAGGAAAACAATTGACGATAACTTGGATGTAATTTATCCATGTTGGCTCGTTTTTGGATTCAAACTGATACAAAATTGAACTACACTCTGTGTAAAAACTATAAGGCACCCGCATTTTTTTCAAAAAAAACAACAATCCATTTGGTTAACGATTGATTATTTTTTAAAAGAAAAGCAAAAAATATTACCTTTTGCGTCAAAAAAAATAAAAATTAGTTTTTTTAAAGTAAAAGATTTGACACAAAACAATTTTACAGGTTGATCCGGTTGATTTGTCCTTCTATCTTATTCAAATCTCCTTAACCATCAGTTGGACTCACCATGGGCTACTTGAGCAAGCGATACCGTGATTTTGGTCTCTTACCAGCGATGGCTTCAATTTGTGGATCTTTCACAATTCATGCGACTTTGGTGGTACTCTTCACTCCACCCGAAGCCTCTATGAAGCCGACTATTGACGTTGTCGTGGCCGTGTACCTTTTGAAAGGTCGTGTACCTTTTGAAATCATCTTTTTTTTCTGTGTTTACTCATAAGTGTTTTCATTTTTTGTTGTTTTTATATTAATGATTTCGATTATTTTTTTATTTTTCAGAGATGTCATTCGGAAAGAAGCTGGATTTGGTGGAGCAAACTCAGGCCGACGTGTTGCACACACTTGGATGGAGCCAAGCAGCAATTGCAAAACGTGTGAAGCGTTCTCGATGCTGCATTCAAAAGTATCTTCATACCCGGTCAACTTCCAATGTTAAACATGCCGATGGAAGAAAGCCCAAGCTCTCCGAAAGATGCGAAAGAGCAATTGTCCGACAAGCCGCTAACTCAATGGACTCGCTTGAAACGATTAGAAAAGACATAAAGCTGCCCGTTTGCCGGAAAACTGTTCACAGCGTGATTTTTCGTTCACCCATTCTCAAGCGGTAACTTATAAAGCAAGCTCCGAGTCTTAAAGAGCAGCACAAGGTCGATCGTGTATCGTTCGCACAACGGAATCAAGGTATCGATTGGGCACAGGTTGTGTTGATGCTTGTTCTTATAAAAATTTAAGTTTAGATCATCTGGAGTGATGTGTTCCCCGGTCCCTTTCTATCGACATATTTCTTCATTCTATTTGACTCACTAAAGATTGTCATTACTTATGTAAATAAACAACTAACATAATCTTCCGGAATGCAAGACAGGTCGGTCGTTTATTCCTGAGGCTCCCCTCTGACTTCGGAGGCGTTGAGACCGGTTGTTGGTTGTGTCGGGAGTGGCAGGGAAAGTCCACTTATATCTTTCAAACACACGTAAACAAACACACACCACATTTCAAAAACCCACACCCAAATTTATCCTACCGCTACACACGTGGAAACTAATACACTTTAGTCCCACGAAAACCTATCTTGGTGTCAATAACAAAAAGATAGCGTTTCAAAAAAGTTAGTTTTATAGCCAAATTTTCAGAATGATCTGTTCGATCAATTTCTTTGTAGAATTTCTCAAAGGATTTTACGCAGAACTAGTTTTTTTACACTCGAATTTGCCTGCAATTGGATGGATGGAAGCTCCACAAATTACACTAGTTTTATTCTTAACAAAAACTACAACAGCAACTGTTTATTTAGGTCAGCCATCAGCTGATGATGAGTGTGCTTATTTGGGAATCGACGATGGCTGGTGGTTTGGCGGAAGTTGTGGAGGAACGAGTCCCTACTTTTGTCAACTTTCCGCAGCGGCAAATGGGTTTGCAGTTAAAGTGGTAGACTTCTATAGGGAAATTTGAAATCTTAATATACCCTTAGTTTGCTTAAATAAAAGTTTGAATTGCTTCGGCTAACTTTTATTGTTACACTTTACACGATATTTAGCTTGCGATAGCTGAATATCTCGAAGAATCTTTGAATTCCCTGATAGCAAAAATTGTTCAGACAAATGTCCCTCCGGTTGGCAATACTACGATCAAACGGATAGCTGTTACTATGCAAGAGCCGATTATGAAAAAAAATTGGTAAAATTCGAATCTAGTTGGGTCATAATCGTGCACTAATGGATGCCGAATCTAATTGTATCATAAAAGCTGGTCAGCTAAATGGTCATCTAACCTCTATTGCAAATCTCGATGAGAATAAATTCATTGCAGGTACATTTTCTAGTACATAAAGTACCCTGGAAACGGATACACAAATTTTTCAATCAAAGATTCGTTTAACCAATAGATATGTCTTATGATGGCTCTTGTTCGGGAAGTTTTCCATTCAAAGCGGGCAGTGTGCTGACTGGAGGAGTATTCGATGGTTTGTCGTTTTTTTGAAATTTTCGAACAGCCCCTTTATAGGAGCAGTTTTGAAATATTGGATGGATGGAAGCTCCACAAATTACACGCACTTCTGTACTACAAATCCCGATGGGCCAAACACCTCGGTCTTGGTTTGGTCCATTCTAAAAACGCGTTTAACATCAACAAATAATTCAGCTTCGATCATTGCCACCGAATTGTGACACAGGATGCGGTGGTGGATTGTGGATGGCCGGATATGAAGCCATCGACACAAATCAAGTGTATCCAGCATACGTTTGCAAGTCATCGCCTTTGTGTTAATTTGGTAGAGAATAAATAAATTTGTGGAAATGATTGATTATTCGTTGTTAACCTTGTATAAAAAAAGCACCATCGGGCACACTGACTGGACACATACGTTAAATCAGTCATTCTACAAAAACCGTGTCTTTTTCCATTAAAGACAAACCAAAATTAGACCTTGCCTGCCAACAAGTATTTAACCTCCAAGATCCAAGATTTTCAACGTTGCTTCCATGAGATAAGAAAGGGTGTTTATGAAAAGAAATGAAGACGTTTTAATTGGTCGAATATAAGCAGTAATTGAAGGGGAAATTCTCAGTCGAAAACGAGATTTGGAAACGATGAGAATGGTTGGTTTTTACAGGGTTTTGTAGAAGATCACTCTTCAGTCTGTTTTTTCTAGGCTATCAATGGAACCAGCCATGCACGTCGTGTAGCTGGACTGTTTGTCCCTCCAAACAGCAGTGTTATCAAAATGTGAGTTGATAGAAAATCGAATGCAAAGAAAAGACTTCTAGGCCTAGAATCATTCTCTGCTTAAGGCTTAAATCGAGTCTCAATCATCAGTCACCCGTTTCTTTCAGTCATCCCTCTATAATGATCCTCCGAAATGTGTCTCGAAAACGACGACTTGCAAGACGTCAACTACCAGAAAGACCACGACAACCTCGACAACAACAACGCCTAGAACAACCCAATCAACCACTGTCACAACAACAAAACCGACGACGAAAACGACAGTCACATTAGCCACAACCACGATAAAGCCAGCTACAACAACAAAAACGACAATCACATTAACCACAACGACTACAACTACGATTTCGAAAGGATTGATTGCTTCAAAGATTTGAAGGAGATTTTCAACAACTGTGTTGTTCAACTTTGATGCTTTGCTTTGTGAAATCGAAAGAGTTTATTCCATTACTTTAAATCAACATTTTAAAACTCAGATATCTTTCAGTCTCTTGTGCAAGTTCTGCACAAAATATCTCCGACTACTTTGTGCGCAATTACTTTGTCCCCGATGATGATGGACTTTTGATTGCAACGCTTTCAGAAGTGACATTGAAGTAGAATGTTTAATGCCTTTTTTTTACTTTCAACTCTGTCTCACTTAGCAAAGATTCAACAGAATTGTAAATTTGAATAATATGAAATTTGAAAAGGTTAGAACGGACTCTGATGGTTGCTTAGAGGCTCACTTCATTTGCATGTCACTCAATAACAGCTATACAACGTACATCGGTTACTCAATTACTGACGATCAAAGGGTTGTATTTGAATAATTTGACAAATTTAAAGTTTCAATTTGTGTTTAAAATTTCAACTTACTTTTACGACCAGGAGTTGTCACCTGTGACACTACCTGGTCGTAAAAGTAAGTTGAAATTCCATCAGAAAGAATAAAGAAAGATAAATGAGCTGCATGCATATTTACGATCTCTAGTGTTTGTTTTCAACAACAAACTGTTATATTTCATTTCATTCTTTTCCATTTTAATGAATAGCAAATTTGAAACTATCACCGGGTTCCTACTGAGGAGGCTCCCCCGGTGCACACTTTTGTCTAGGATTTGGAGCTCAAACAGTAGCCTAGAACTTAAATAACTTAGTTATTAATTTAATTATCTCTTCTTTCTTACAAACTTCCTAAAATCTATCATTCATTGATAGTCAACTATTGGGCTGAAATTTGTAAAAAAACGGCAATGTCTTTATTCAAAATCGTTTCAAAAAAAACACAAGGCATAGAAAAGTTAAAACTTTATGAAAAGTTGAAATCGATAAATCCCTAAAAAAGCTTTAGATACCAAAAAAAGATAAAGAAAAAACTTTATTGATTTTTGAATTGATGCAGGCATTTATATTTGATGACTTTCTTTTCAAATGACATCAAAATAAACGAGAATTTGTGTGTGTATTTTCTCATGTGCTCAGCAAGAATTGAAGCCTCAATTTCATAAAGAATATGCTCAAAGTCAATTGCAGGGATCATTTCTCCATTTTGATAATTCTTTGGTTGATCAAGAAGGATCAAGTTTTCTCCATTTCCATGACTCAAAAAATTTGGACATTGAAGGAAAACAAAGTATGGCTTTTTGAAAGCACTAACCTTCTCGAGTTTGTATTTTCTATTTGTCTTTGAGCTCTGAGAGTACTGCATTTTGTCAAATGCTCTACAAAAACTCAGGAAAGCTTTTAGATAGGCTTTTGCTTTCTTCGATGAGCACCCATAGAATCGAATCATTTCCAGCTCTGATTCAAGGCATTTAACCTCTTGATTACAGTAAGCCCTGGGCGGATTTCGTATCTGGAAACAGTAGCCAGGTATCGGTAAATTGCGGCCAATCTTCGATGGTAACTTGAATTTCGATTTGTTCATTTTCTTTAATGATAAAATGTTTTCCGCTTTTAGATTTGCAACTCTTTGAATTCGTTTACTTTTTGCTTTCATGCTTTCGAGTAACATCGAGTGGTCAATGGGTAAATCGTGAGAATACAGCAATGAACCCGAATTCAGGCCACAACGAACTGATTGCCATGTTTTCCGATCCTCTTTAAGGGTCAGCACTTTTCGATCTTCTCTCCAGACTCCAAAAAATTGCTCAACTTTATTTAAATTTCTGTCCACAAATAAACTGCAACTGATTTCGGGGATATCTCGAAGAAAAAGCCACTCTTTTTGTGTACTCGTCGAAATGTAACATTTGAAGAAAATCGCGATCGTTTCAATTGGCTTATTTTTCTCAAATTTTTCGATTACTTTAGTGAATTTCTTGTGATGTCCATTCGGTGAAAAGTGTGCTCGATTGGCTTTCGAAAGAACTGTGAAAAAATTACAAAAAGCATGAGCTTGTTGACGTTTGATTTTAAAAAGAATATCTTGAAGAACTTTTTGAATCCTTTTAAATGGCTCTAAACTTTCGGTATTCAAAAATAAAATCTCTTTGTCCAAGTCATCAAATAATTCCTTCTTTTTCATGATTTCATCATAGAAACCATTGACTTTTTGACGGAATTGATTCTTTTCGGACAAGTTCAATTCTTTAAATATTTTCCGTATTATTTGAGAATCAACATTTGAGAGTTTCTTTCTAAGGAACACTTCTAAAGGTTCTTCATTTAAATCGTTTTTTAAAAAGGATTCTTCTTTGTCTTCAATAGATTCTTCAGAACTAAAACTGACTCCCGGTGCGAGAAAATCGTCAACAGATTGAAGAGACTTTGAAATCTGAACAACTAGATAAACCAAACAACAAAAGGTTCTTGAATAACTTCAATTTTCATCCAAAACCCACTCACCGATCGTTTAAACTTTAAACCCACTCACCAAACCCTGACGCGAGGATCTGTCGAATCCTTCAGGTTTCACCAATTCCACTTGATCTGCATCAAATCTTGGTTCTTCTTCAAGACCATCAAGAATAGAGCTTTTCTAGAATGACTGTACTTTTAGATTTTTAGTACTAAACCTCAAGCTCAGCCAGTTCTTTTTGGACATCTTTTGCATCTGGTCTCTCAATCGATTCAAACTTTGTGCAGTTGTTGAAAATCTCCTTCAAATCTTTGAAGCAATCAATCCTTTCGAAATCAAAACTTCGAACGTTGATTGAGTGACGAAAAAGTGTCTCGTTGAAAACGATTGTCTGACTGTTTTCATCGTATTTTTCGAACTTCAAATACACTCGTCTAAAGGGGATCTTTTAAATATAACGTCTTTTAATTACCTTCGCTCCACTAATTCCCAAAGAACAAGTCCCAAACTGTAAACATCGTTTCGATGAAGGTATCGCTGAAAAACAAACAGTATTTGATGTGAATTTGCAAGTTACTTTTCTTGTTTTATCATCACTTTCCACAGAAATTCCCATTTCCGGAGCAAAGTATCGAACTTTTTGAAAAGTCTCAATTAAAGTCCCATTACCAAAGCCAACACTTCCGAAATCTCCCAACTTTATCGACCAATCTTTTGTAATGAAAATGCTAAATTTAAAGTTATACAAAATTTGAAGGCATCCTTACTTTCCAGGATTGATATCCCCGTGTAAGTAGCCTAACTTTTCATAGCTGTTAGCCAGTGCATCGAAAAGACCTCGAGTCCAAGAGATCACCGTCTTTATGGTGTACAAATTTTTCGGGTTTAGAATAACTGGAAACACTTCTTCATGTGCTATTTTGGTCTTTATTTGATTTATAACAGTCGAACTTCGATATAACGAATTGTTTGGGACGAAAAACTTCGATGCAACGAACTTAAAACGTGCCCCAAGCGTAGTTGCCCTGGACGCCAATGATTGCATTTGGCTGCATCATCTACGCAGAAATTTTGGGCACATTTTAGAATTTCAATTTCATTATATCAATGTTCGACTTTATAGCAATATCGTGAACTTTTCAAAATAACTGATGGGTACACTTTTGAACTACTTTTTGATCACAACTTCACTTTAGCTTAGAAGTTTTGAATCTAACTGATTTTAACTTTATACAATATGTAGAAAAGTATCTAAACCATCATATAATACTAAAAATAGCTCACTTAAAAATGTCTTTTATTTTTAAAAACTCTTTCAAAAGTTCACTAGGAATTAAATGATTCAGAGACTCTCAAATGATTCTCATTTTTTACTTACAATTCGACAGAGTGCCTCTCTCGTAATATTCAGTGACAACAGCAAATCTTTCTTGAGGATCTGTAGAGGATTCGACACATTTCATGAATTTGATCAGATTCGGATGATCCAAACTGTTGAGTGCCTCGTAATTTTTTTGAACTCATCGATTCGATCTCGCGTTACACCACTCCAGTATTTCACCGTTGCAGGTCTTAAATTCGAATAATTGCTTAAACTTTAAAGCTTGAAGACTAACGGCTGATATCCAATCAATTTGAATACGGTTCCGTGTTTACATTTATTGGTGTCAATTCGGTCGAAAACGATTTCGTGTAAGGTGACAATGATTCGATTGTTGGGTTGAGTTGGTTCATCTTAAAGGTTAAGTACTTTTTGGGAAACTTTTTCAAAACAAAACAAAACAAAAAACGAAAAACTAGCTAACATAGTTGAAAAGTATGTTATTCTGTTAAACTAGTTTTTGAAAGTGATTTAGTTGACAAGGGAACCCCAGCAGATCCCCAACATTGTTTGGCTGGAAACAGAGTGTTTCTGATTTCAGAATTTCACGGTGATTCCGAATCTGTGTGCAATAAGGTCCTTTTTCACGTGGTCGTTCCAACTACCTCATTGGCCTAGTAGTTAGCGCGCTTGCGTCGGCAACCCGCAGTCTTTTTGCCTGGGTTCAATCCCCTTGCCGCCAGCTTTTGTTTGCTTTTCGATTTTTTTGTGTCTAATTGGTTTTTACTTAAACAAATTCGTTATATGCATTTTGGTTCAACCCAAAAAACGTGAGGAGACAAATTACGTTTTAGAAAAAACGATCTCAAAAATCTTCTGAATGTTATGACTGTCCTATCTATCTATTTTAGTGTAATTATTTCGTTATATCGTGCATTGCATTGCTGATCGTGCTTGCGTTGTTGGCGCTGGGCCTAAATGAACACATACAATATTATTGGCAAAAATATGTACCTCCGAAAGAGCAGCATTGCTCAATCTCACCTCATTCATCAAGTCTCCGTTCTAAATTATGCAGATAAAATGCATGTTATTTTACCAAACCTCTTGGATGAGTTTCTTACTATTATGAGTATACTATTTTAGATTATATCATTATAAAGATAATGAATTTGTTTAATTAAAAGTCAATGTGACACAAAAAAATCAAAAAGCAAAAAAAGATGGCGGTACGGGGGATTGGACCCATGCAAAAAGGCGATTCGCCTATAACACAAGCGCACTAACCACTAGGCCAATGAGGTGAAAAAGGACCACCACGTGAAAAAGGATCTTATTGCGCGCTGCAAAAAAATGTTACGGAAAAGTTGAATATGTTTTTTGCTTGAGGCTTTAGGAACTTCTGATTACAGATTCAGAATCACCGTGAAATTCTGCATCAGAAACACTCTGTTTCCAGCCAAACAATGTTGGGGATCTGCTGGGGATCCCTTGTGAGTATCAAATCTTGAAAAAACAAATGAATATTAACCCAATTGGAAGCTTTTTTCCTCATCTGAAAGCTCGGATTCGAAGGAATCTGATTCAAAAAGAGTGAAGCTTTCTGGAGGACTGAAACTTTTCGGAGAAATCCTTCCTTCTTCCAATTCGTTCACCTAAAACTTTTCGAAATTCGAAACAGAAAAATGTTTCTTAAATTGCACAATTCGTTGTTGAAAACATTTTCATGTATTTTCGATGTTGGGTCCTCTGTAAACTCTAATCGAATAGACGTTTCGCCGAACTTCATCCCATAGTTCCCTTTCCAGTTCTGAAATTTTAGAATTTTCAAAAAAAATCATCACTTTTATCTCTCATTTTTATAACCTGTGTGTCTTTAGCATAACTGTAGAGACAAAGATTTCGCATTCCGGGAGGATAGTTCACTTTTAGAGTCTCTAGAGTCCAGGGTTGACCTAAAAAATACGACTTGATAAAGGAAATGTATACTGTTGGACATACAGAGTGCGGAGAAAGTTTTGGACTTGCGACCTTTTTCCGAGAAAATCCTGGCTGGGCACTTTAAAGCGTGGTAAAACTGCCCCGTACCCCACCCAGTTTGCGCGGAATTTCATTTTTTTTCATTCTTGTTCATTTCATTTTGTTCTGGGGTGAAACTAGTAAATTTTGCTAGACCTAGCGAAGTCTGGACCGGAGCCCAGGACTAGAAAGCAAGTTATGATATGTTTTCGTTGCAGCCAATCCCTAGTGCCTTGGCTGGCGTGAATCGGGGCAATGTTTTGCAATCGATTCGATTTCTTTCTTGATCAATCATACGTTTCCCCTTATCCATTTTACCTAAAAAAGACACATTAGTTGAATAAAAATGAAAGAACAAAAGAAAACGCAGTTATTCAGTCAAAAATTTCAACTTTTGTTTGAGTGGCTGTAAAATTATGTCCAGCAGTTTATTGATGAATTTTGTTCTGAAATTTTTTAAAACAAAATTGAAATAATTCAAAAATACCGCTCACACACCAGCTTTTTGTGCATACCGTAATAATTCTAATAGAAGACCAGTCTCTAATAGAAGACCAGTCTCTAATAGAAGACCACCCCCCCCCCCCTTGAAATCGGGACTTTTCTATTTAGACTTAATTTTTTTTTTGGTTGTGTTTGGGCCAGATTTTTTTTTTTTTGCCCCCGGGTTAATTGGAGACGTAGTTTTGGAAAAATTAAAAAAATACTTTTTAAAAATTTTTTGTGGTCCCCCCCTTGGTTTTTTTTTGGTGTTTTTTTTGGGTCCGGCCAAGGAAAATTATTTTCACTTTTATACCTGTTTTTGGCATGTTTTGGGCCAAGGGGCATTTTGTTTTATATTTTTAACAATTTTTAATTTTTTGATTTATGTAGGGGACCCTTACCTACTTTTTTGGCCGATCAATTTTGGGGGGTTGAAAATTAGAAGACCATGGTCTTCTATTAGAATTATTACGGTATTTGCGTTCAATAAGCGCTCCATTTTCGGTTGGAAATCCAAGTTTCTCAAGGAGTTTTTCTTCACTTTCTGCCATCTTTAATGGAATTGTTCAAAAATTGTTAAATTTTTGACCTACTTCAGCTCCAAACATGTAAATTGCCCCACAATCGGATCGAGGAGCGTGCTTTTCCGTTACGATTATCGTCGGTCGAACGTCATCGAGTATCCATGGCTGAAAAAGCTCTAATAAAAAAATTAACTTGAAAAATTCTGATCTTTGAACTCTAAAGCAAGGATGATTTGTTTTAGATTGTTTTAGAAAACATTTGGACACAACAACTACTGTATTAATTAAGAGCTTTATATGACAAAAGATAATTAACTTTGGGGAGTGGGACAAATGCTACCTTTTTTTTGCGCACCCGGACATTTGCGCACCTCTTTTTCCGCACCTTGCCCATTAGCGCACCTTTTTTCGCGTTTTAAAAAGCTCTAAAAAGCTAATATTAACCAATTTCTATTCCATAAGTTTTTTTTCTAGGTAATTTGAGGGTGTCGAATTCAAATTTTGACATAACAGAGCGTGTGGAACCAATTTGAAAGACGTTTTGTCTGGCTAGATCAAATTACAGAAAATTTTCGATTTTTCTCTTTGTATAACTCCGTTCGTTTGTTTCCACAAGCTCTGATATGTCAAAATTTCGATTCTACGCCCTAAAATTACCTAGAAAAACAACTTTTGGAATAGAAATTGGTTAATATTAGCTTTTTAGAGCTTTTTTAAAACGCGAAAAAAGGTGCGCTAATGGGCAAGGTGCGGAAAAAAGGTGCGCAAATGTCCGGGTGCGAAAAAGGTCGCATTTGTCCCACTCCCTTCACTTTGTCATTTTGGTGTCAGCCATATCAATAAAAAAGGTTTTTTTAAAAAGCAAAAGAATAAAAAACAATTTTGGGTACTATCCTAGTTGATGGGCACGATTTTTTCTTCAAAACCACTTTTTCTGGGGTAGTTTTATGCGTAGATTCCAAAAAACACAACGAGAGCTTCGGAAAAGGCGTTTTAAGCCAAGTTTTGCGACTCTAAAGTGCGCGCTTCTATAGGGTACTTCACCACAGGGTGGCGCACAACTACCCGAACTCAGTTCAGATTCTCCAACTTTGCGAAGAGTCAATCAATCGACCTAATTCTTTTTTTATTATCAAATTGAATATTTTTCTTGCAATGTGTTTTCTGGATTTGATGAGAAAATTTTCTAAAGTTTTGCTAGAGAGCTGCAAAGTTGCGCGTTTCCTGTGGCGGAATCGCGATTTTCTCGTTTTTGTAACTAGTTTCAATGCCTCAAAATCAAAGAAAACCAGCTTCATTTACTCTTTTTTCACTTATTACTTCCAAAATATAGCTCATTTTTACTAGAAAACAATGAATTTCAATTTGGGATCAAAGTTCAAAATGTGAATTTGAACTGAGTGCGGGTAATTGTGCGCCACCCTATACGGGCCGATAAGTTTCCGGAAAAATTGGGTTTTCTTTTATAAAATGGCTAGATGGACCACTTTACTTACTTTAAAAAAACTAAGCGCAAGGCCAAATTTTAACTTGTTAACTTACAAAAAACGTTCTAACGATACTAAAAGATGTTTTCTAATAATGAACTCAGTGGTAACACTCATAAATGCTCAGTAAGAAGCTACGCCGCAGAGAGATCTTAAATGTCGGACAAAGACTCTTAGAAAATGCGAATAGAGCGACAAATCGGAAAACGGTTTTGAATAAATGAATGAAACTTTAGTTCTTTCGCCAAACTATTGCTAGTCCAGCTCAAAATAGCTTCTGTTTTTAAGTGCTCAATCAGTGTAAAATATTTTCCGGACACTTATCGCCCACCCTGTTTATGGAGCCCAACTTATCGACTATTGGGACACTTTTCAAGGTTAAAACTAGAGCGAAAGCCATTTTTAACCACTAAATATTCATTTTCTAACATAAATTGACCGATAGAGGCCAAGGAAATTGAGAAAATATTTTTTGAGATTTTGACTCATGTGGGAGACCACATGGCCGAAATTTGAAAAAAAAATTTTTTTTTTATTTTGCTCCATTTTGATCAGAAACCGTAATCAGTAGGTTAAATTATGTCTGAAAAAGTGTTTTTAGCTTCAAAAAATGTTTTCCGAGGCTATTTTTAGACCTCTTTCCTAAGTGTATCCCTCTGATCACAACACTGTATGATAGCGCACTTTGGAGCTCCGAAACTCGGCTTAAAACGCATTTTCTCAAGCTCTCGTTGTGTTTTTCGGAATCTACACATAAAACTACCCCAGAAAAAGTAGTTTTGAAGAAAAAAAGGTGCCCCCCTCAACTAGTATAGTGCTCAATTTTGACCTCAATGCCGCATTTCTCGAGATTCACCATAATAAGCCTCCATCCCCAAGAATTCGATGTCGCTAGACACTTTGCGGGTCCTTTTTTCAAGTCGTACCCAATTGGAGGCTCTTCCAATGTACATCTAAAGCTTTCTAGAAGAGAAGCCTTTCAAACACTAAACCCTTCTACGTTACAAGAAATCCAGCTTTCGTTTTCAATCAAATACTCCTCAGCCTGTTTTGCGTTGATCGGTAAGTCGGCGATAATGTTTGGGCCATATGGATTTACATGACCTTTCGATGCAAAATGGTAAAGGTAACGATAGTTGAAAGTTTGCTTCTAAACATTAAGAAATTAGAAAGAAAATCGAGCTTACTTGCTCGTTGGGTGAGTCGGTGATGTGATCTGGAGGAATTTCAATCCCATCTCTTGCACAAAGGTCTTTCCAAAAGAGGTTGTTCAATGAAATCAGTTGATGAAATCGTTTACAAACCTGAAGCTATTTGGTGTTGGCTTGAAATTTGCTTTTATAACTATCTCTGAGAATATTTTGGCTAACTAGCTGAACTAGTAACTTTTATAAAAACTCTAAGGAAAAGTCAAAATGCAAGAAAAAGTTAAACCTTCTCCAAATTCAGTAAATCGACAGAGTGGCATCTTTTGAAGACTTCTTTCCACGGGAAATTTTCTTGGTTATCCGTGCGAAACATTGATCTTCAAAGTAACCATAAAAGTTTTAAACTTTTTGAAAAAAAATCAACTAAAAGCTTTATCTGAGACCTCTAAAAAGACATTTCTCTTCTAGACCTTCTGTTTGCAAAACTGATAACATATTGATCACAAAAAAAGAGAAAAGTTTTGGGAAAAATTATTTCAATTTTTGTCACTGATCATTAAGCTGAAAAAAGTGATGTCCAATTTGCTTGCTGTTTCAATACTTTCCAAATTGATTGCCCCCAAAGAATCAGGTGAACAAAAAATGGATTTGCTGTTTGATGAGGACCCAAAATGGGTGAAATGGAGACGCATTGAGCCGAAAGTGATTGGATATGGATCGATTGCGCGAGTGGAATTGATAAGAGAACGACATCCGTTAGTTTCTTCAATTAACTTTTCAAAAATAATAAGTTGCAGACCAATCGTTGCAAAATACTTGACAAATCTAGACGCCTCTAAGCGGTGGAAATTCGACGAAGAGTGGAAAGCCCTTAAGGGACTGCAGCATCCGAATGTTGTTTACTACTATGGTTGGAATGGAGATCATAACTATTTCACATTGTTTATGGAGTATTGCGAGAGGAAGTCACTAAATGCCAGTAAACATTTCATCCCAATTTCCTAAATTATTAGGTTCGCAATAATGAAATGTCGTTTTTTACATAAAACTATTTTTAAGAATGATCAGGCAATCAATCAAAAGACAAAAGATCAATCAAAAGATCAATTTTGCCATTCAAAAGATCTATCTTTCCTCTCTAAAATCCCTTTTAAATGATTTTGCAAAACTTTTATTTTCGAGGTTTTCGGGGCGCGCAAATGAAAGTAGCCGAAATTGGCATAAATAGGAAATAATCAATTTTACAACTTTTTAACATGCATTCATTTTAATTTCTCACGCAAAAGAAAAATCGATATTTTTTACATATGCACTCAAATTTTCAATCAAATTGGTCCAGCCGTTTTTCAGAATTTTTTTTTTGAAAAATGGTTTGAAATAAGGAATTTTTGGCTCGTTTGAGGTGTTTTTGAGGAACTTAGATAGAAAAAGTGGCTTGACGAGTTTGGCTGAAAATTTTACTGAAAATGTAAAAGAGTTTGACCTTTCACTTGCACACAAAAAATATATTAGCTTCTCATCAAAAAAAGCTAGATGTCCATCTAACTAGACGATCAAAAATCCATCTAACTAGACGCTCTCTGCGTTTTCGACTATCCACCTTCACTCCTCCCGAAAGCCTCCAAAACAGAAGTGTTTCAAAATCATTTAAACCATTTTGATGAGAAAAGATAGATCTTTTGAATGGCAAAATTGATCTTTTGGTTGATCTTTTGTCTTTTGATTGATTGCTTGATCATTCTTAAAAATAGTTTTATGTAAAAAACGACATTTCATCATTGCCAACCTAATAGCAAAACTTTTTAGTTCGAATCTTTGCATCACAATTACCCACTGTAAAATCAGACATATTTTTTAGCTCTTGAAAACCCGAATGTGATTTATAACATGAAAACGGTGATCTGTTGGGCAGAACACCTACTTTCTGCACTCTTTTTTCTATCCAAGCGACAGATTTTGCATCGTGACATTAAAGTCACCAAGTCATAAAAGAAGTTTAACGTTTTCAAATAGTATTTTAGTTGCTTACTGACGAATGACTTTACTTTGAAAGTCTCTGACTTTGGGTGCACAAAAGATCTTTCGGAAATGGGTAGTGGAAAGGAGTATCAAGCAGCCACCTCACAATGCTTGAGTCCAGAGGTTGTCTGAGATTGGACTTGTTAATTGAAATGACTGAATATCTGTATCTTAGGCTTATCTGCTTTCGTATCAAAAAGACTTGGGAAACGAACAGGTGAAACAAGTTTTGTTTTGAAAATTCTTTTCTAGATAGCGCAGGAACTTTTTGGTGTTCAAATCAATGCTCAAAGTGATCTCTATTCGGCTGGACTTGTGCTTTGTGAGATTATCGAAAGAACGTTTGTATTAGATTGTAAAGTTAGAGTTAACTCCCACTGGAGTAAGGGAGATCAGGTGCGTTGTGGTGTAATGGTTAGCATGGTTAGCAGTAAGCGAAAGGTCGCGGGTTGGAGTCCCTGCGGCGCACAAGTTCCAACTGTGAGTCTTAAGTGTAAAACTTTTGTAAAATATTCTCCTAAATGAGCCAACCGTTTGCTTTACGGTTTGCTGTAACATACATTTTTTTTATTTGATTTCGCTCATTTTTAGCCAATTTGGGGGGTGGGACAAATGCGACCTTTTTTTGCGCACCTGGACATTTGCGCACCTTTTTTTTGCTGGAAAAGACCTTAGGAAAGGTCGTAGAGCTTCAAAAATATTTCCATATAAGGGAATCGTATGCGTAGATTCCGAATTTCGACAAATCAGACCTCGTTGACACGTCAAATTTGGGCTAAAGGGCAAAAACTGCGGAAAAGCGTTAAGTTGCGTAGTTTTTGCCTTTTAGCCCAAATTGGACGTGTCAGCGAGGTCTGATTTTTCGAAATTCGGAATCTACGCATACGATTCCCTTGCATGAAAACATTTCATTTTTGAAGCCAGCAAAAAAAAAGGTGCGCAAATGTCCAGGTGCGCAAAAAAAGGTCGCATTTGTCCCCCCCAATTTGCAAAGTTTCTAATGGTCAGATCAACGGTGAAATCCATTTTTCGAAAAAAATCATGTTTTGAGTGAAAAATGAAAACGACTGAGTGAATTGTTCTAAAATTTTGGCTCTAGGCCTAACTTTTGATGTTCTCTTCTTTTTTTCTCTTGACACTAAAATAGATTTCTGGGGACAAGAGTGTCTAAACAACATCTTCAAAGAATCTCAATTTTTGACTGCTTCTCTTTGGACCCATGGAAAACATTTTGAAACTAAGATTTTCAAAATTTGAAAAAAAACGTTTTTGTAGAAGAAGGCTAGAGCTTTCTAATGCAACAAAGCGTAAATCAAATGGCTGAGTATTTATTTATACAAAAGATTTCTAAAAAAATTTTCTCAAGACTAACTTTCTCAAAATCTAATTTACAACGTACAAACTTGATTTTGACTTTTTTTTTTTACAAGATTCATTTAGGGAAACCTTTTCACAATATGATAATGGAACATGGGAAAATCAACGCTTTCAAAAAGATCTGTTGACTCTGAAAGCTGTACTGCCGACGCCAAATTGTAAACATCGAATTGCTCAGCTAGTCGATAGGTGCTGTTTTTGGAAAAACTTTTACAAAATAAAGTGCATTTCACATTAAGTAGTGTTCCTTCCAAAATGCCCGTATCTCGAAAAGTGTCAAAGGAATCAATGTTGGTGTCAATTACAAAAAGAAAGAGCATAGTGAAAAACCCTAAAAAACACTCTTTTTGGATTACTTTACTTTTCAAAAACAATTTTTTTAATAATTAGGCTTTTCAGACCGTTTCATATTAAGTAGCGCACTTGAAAAAGATTTTGTTTCAAGTAAAAGAAAAACTTTAGCAAGGAAAAACAAAACGATAGCAACAACTAATAATCAGTAATACGTCCAGAACGGTTTATCACTTGAAAAATCCGATTATGCATACTCTTGACGAGGTTCTGAAGGACGGCGACGTCGAGACCTTTCCAAGCCATTCTGATCGCCGCTTTAAGTTGAGAAGCGTCTTGTTACTGCCGGTGATTCTTGTAAACCTCTCCGCCAAAGGTTTTCGATCGGATTGAGGTCCGGTGAGCAAGAAGGCCAGTCCAAACGTCGATGGCGGAGGCAGCGAACCAGCCCATTGTGTAGTTAGCGGTGTGAATCAACGCGTTATCTTGTTGGTAGATGTAGGCAATGGCGGGATTTTGCTGTAGAAATGGTAAGAGAGCCACTTTGAGCAGGTCCACATAATTTTTGCTGTCCATTTTGTTCGAAATGAACTCCAAAGAGACGGTTCCATTGGCACAGAAGGCCGCCCAAACCATTACATTTCCTCCATCATAGTTTCGCGTCCCGAAAATCATTGGATCCTTTTGAGGATCTCTCCAATAATGCGAAACCCCGCCTGCTCCATCAAGATTCCACTTTTTCTCATCGGAGAAGATCACCTAAACACAAAAGTTAATTGAATCCAAATGGTTCCAAACGTTTGTCCAGTCCTGATTCATGTGAGTTTTGGCAAAGCGGAGGCTGGCTTCTTTATGTCTATCTTTCAAGGCAGGGGCGTGGTTGAAAAGTTGACGGTCAATATGTGGATTTTCCCTGACAGCACGCCAGGATTGTCGTCTTGGAAGCATCTATTTGCAGTTGTATCTTGACGTCGTTGATCGATAAACCGTGAATGCCGTTCACAATTTGACGTTTGGCACGAGGCGTGAGCTTCGGCTCTGGTCCAGTTTTCTTTTTGGCGGTGGCGGAGGTTTTGTTCTTCAAATATAGACGAATTGTGTTGTCAGAGCGGCCCAAATCTTTCGCAATTCTCCTTAGTGAATTGTCGGCTCCTCCCAGGCGGTGGCGAGCATCAATTTGTCCTTTTTCGTAATCCGATAGATGTTTGTAAGGAGCAAAATGTAAAATAAACAAAATAAACATATTAAAAGGGAAACAAAAAAACAAGTTAACAAGGGCGAAAAAAATTAAAAAATGTTGTTTTTCTTAATATGAAACGGTCTGAAAAGCCTAATTAGTTAAAAAAATTATTTTTGAAAAGTAAAGTAATCCAAAAAGAGTGTTTTTTTAGGGTTTTTCACTGTGCTCTTTTTTTTGTAATTGACACCAACATTGATTCCTTTGACATTTTTCGAGATACGGGCATTTTGGAAGGAACACTACTTAATGTGAAACGCACTGTATATAATTTCTGTTTGAATTTTAACGTTCGAAGTTGATCTGCACAAAAATCGGCAATTAACCAAACTTTAAACGAACAATTTTAGTTGCACAAAAATGAGACAAACCGAAAGGGCAACGATTGATTCTATTTATCCACAAATTGTGCACCTCAATTTGGTAAGCAAAAACTAAATAGGTTAAATTGAACAAGTGAGTTGTTTTTTTAGGAGTATCAGAAATTCCCATTCTTTCCGTTGATTTGCGAAAAACAGAAGCAATTACTCCGGCCAATCGGTTTCGATAATAGACTCACAAAAGCGGTGGTCAGGCGGCGCTTCAACTTCAGTTCAGAGATTTCGAAAGAACAAATCGAAGAAATACTCCTGCCAGACTCTTGGACTAGCTTTGTTGGGGAAACGGCTACCGAAGTTGCAAAAGTTATTAAACACTAAAAGCTAAACTTTCAGCTTTTTTTGGGATGTGGGGGTTTCGGTGGAGTCAAATCTGTGCCCAATCATCATCCGTGAATTTTATTCCAAATATTCAGTACTAGAATTTTTTAGAGTAATTGCAGCCAAATACATCGACTACGATTCTCGTCTTCCGATGAATGAACTCTTCGAAAAGGAAAGGGAAACACTGAAAAGGCTTCCACATCCAAATATCGTTCATTTCTTCGACTTGAAGCTCGACAAAACTAATATGGTCATTTATATGGAGTTCTGTGAACGAGGATCATTATTTGATGGTCAATTTTCTGTTAAATAACTGTCTGTTAATCCTTTTTTCAGTGCTTTATAGAAGTCCGTCCGTTATTTACAATATGAAGACAGTTTTGTGTTGGGCTGAACACCTTTTTTGCTGGCCTTTTGTGTCTCTTCGAAAACGAGATCATTCATCGGGATATCAAACCGAGAAAGTTTGATTTGATTTAATAAGTTTCTTGTTGCACTATTTGATGGTGGATTTGAAGGTGGCTCATGGTGGTGGAAGAAAAGTTCCATGAAATAGAAAATGTGTCGAAAATTTGCGACCCCAAGAAGACAATTTTGATCCCAAAAATCATACCACCTCTAGTCACTAGAAATATTTTTCAAAATTCGACACAAAGTGACTTTTTGATTCTTTTCCAATATCGAGGGTGGTAAATTTTTTTTTACGGTTGTCCAATGGAATTACTATTTGCGTTAAGTATGTGCAAGGAAAGTGGCAAATTTGCCGCCTGGGAACAGTGCTTTTGATGCCATCCTCCGGGACATTGCTGAGTTTTGGGTACCTGGCGCTGAAAAGGAAACAATTCCATTTTATGCTTGATTGCTTGATTAAGATTGTTGTTAACTTGATTTATTTACTTCTTGTTGTTTGTTTGTTAGTTGTTGTTTAACTTAATGTTTTGATTTAGGGTTCTTAATTTTCCAATAAATATAGCATTGAGCTATTAAATTCGACCGAAATCTTTAATTTAGAAAAAAACTACCACCCCCGTTAATCCGGGTACCACTCCCGATATTGGAAAAGTACCGACTTTTTTTATTGGGACACTCTGTACTATTAATTAGTTAGCAACTTAATTAATTAGTTATTAATTAGTCACTGCTGGAGGGTGTTTCTCTCAAGCAATAACTTTCTATAACGCGCCCTTCAAAGGAGAAATTTCAATATCATTCAATATCATAAACTAAGATGAAGACTAAGATAAACTAAGATGTGTAGCTGTGTAATTTATGATCTTTAATTTTCGCCTTTGAAGGACGCGTTATAGAAAGGTATTACTCTAATCACTGCCATAACTGCTTATCTTTAGCGTGCTGGTTACGAAAGATTTTGTGCTGAAACTCGGAGATTTTGGTTGTATGAAAGACTTGAATGCGACTAAGCCTCTAAATGAAGCCAAAACTCTTCGATACGCGAGCCCTGAAGCTCTCGGCTTTTTCGATGGAAATCATATGGTTTAAATAGAAAAACTACTGAATTAGGTTACTGAATTACAATTTTTTATCAGGCTTTTAATAAAACTTAAGAAACTTAAGCAAAACTTAAGCAGTAACCTAATTTTTTTTCTAATGTTTAGTAACATAAGTCTTTTTCTTGACTTTTATAAAGTTATGGTTTTCAGGAAAGCCCCCAAAGTGACATTTATCAGATTGGATTAGTTCTTTGGGAAATTGTTGAGAGAAGGTTTAGAAAATAACAAAAGAACTAAAGTAATGAAAACTTTTGAGAACTGTTTACGAAGACTATGGAGAAACGGAAATGAATCTCGATCGTTTCCTCTTTGATTGTAGGAAAAATTCGGTGAAACTGAATTCACCGGATTCTCTTCATCCAATTCGAGAGATCATCGAAACGTAAAATCTAATAGACTTTTAAAGTTCTAAAAAATAAATTAAACACTTTAAGTTATCGAAAAAATAGGCATTTGTTTTTCAGATGCACCAAAATCGATTGCAAGGAACGATCGAGTGCTTTGACACATCACAAGCTGGTAATGGAATATAATCAGGTGTCAAATCAAAATGAGAAACTAACCTACTGTTATCTTAGGATTACGGTAGATTTGAAATGGATCCGTTGATTAGAGAAACCCAAGAAAGGCTAATCAGACCGATTGGTTTTGATGGAACGGAAAATGAAGTGAATGTGGACAACAGAGAGGGAGTCGACGTGAATTCCTCTTTTCTTCCCCCCGGCATTTTCATTTCTGGAGCCTCCACTTTAAATGAATATTAAAGTTTTTATTGAAACAACACTGAAAATCGTTTGTTCGATAGTTTTTATGATTTCGAAATGTTTTCTTTTGTAGGCATCAGAAGTTAAATCTCTGAATTCATCGATCGATCAATTCATCGATCTGTACTATTACAGTTTACTTAAAAAATTATTTCTTTAATAAAATTAATAAAAAAATATTTAGCAGAAATTATAGAAAAACTCGATGCGATATTACAGTAACACTTATTCAAAGAAATTGAAGGAATAAAGTTTACAAAAAGACAAGCAAAAAGGTTAGCGTTGATAAATCAAATTTATGCGTTGAATTGGAGCTAATAAACCTATTTCCAAAACTATAAGATTAAGCACAGACGGAAACATAATAACAAAGTAGCATTTAAATTGACTTTCATACCAACTTAAACAAAAACAAATGGGTATACAAAATTTAAAACGTTTCTGAGCTGGCAATGACATCGAAATTTTCAGGCTGGAGTGAAGGCAGAGGTAATGGGATGCCTAAAAAGTAATAAACATATATTGACAACAAGAGGACATAAGAATGAAATTAAAACAAATGACAAACAAACAAGTAATCTATTCATCATCACTATCACTATCAGAAAAATGTAATAATTCGGCTAAATCGTCAGAAAGTCGTTCGATGGCATCGTCGTCAATCGGATCACAACCCGGAATACAGAACCCCTTTTTGCACAATAAGACCTGAGAGACCAATTCTCGCTTCCACATTTCGTTCTCGCAGGTCAAAACAGGGACAAATTAATGTTACAAAAGATGATAGAATTTTCATCTTTTATTTTTTTTGTTTTGAACTAGGGATTTATGACTTTTTGTTTTAGGAGGATGTCTGACTCAGAAGAGGAACTTGTCACAACTCCCAAATATGTGATTGTCGAGTTTTCACAATGGGAACAGCTACTTCAACATTGTCATCTGTGTGGTAGTTCTCCTGGAGGTCGAACCAAAGGAAAAGCAGGAAACAGAATGGCACAAACCTTACCGCTGTTTATCGATGCTCTTGTAAAAGCAACGCTCGTATTCGATGACCGACTCAAAAGTTCATAGAAGGAACACAGACTCGGTCCGGAAATTCGGCAATAACTACGGCGGCACATGTTACTCCAATCGGATATCCAGATTTGTCATCCTTTTGTTCGGCTTTCGAAATGCCTTTTCTCTCCAAGAGTCAATTTCTATTACTTTCAAAAGCCTTTGTATGGCTGTCGAGAATATGTATTACAAAAAGAGGAGTGAACTAATAGGAGGACTGGCAAAAACGATAAGCGTTTCCCTGGATGGACAATATTATAGTCCTGGATATTCAGCCGAATTATGTGCAATTTCATGTTTGGAAACCGAGATGAAACAAATTGTAGATTTTGCAGTTGTACAAAAAAATGAGGTTGGAAATGTTAGTGGTCGAATGGAACTTGAAGGCGTAAAACGAATCCTAACGGAGATTCCCAAGTATGAGCTTTGGACAATGTTACAGTTGATAAACATCCGCAAGTCGTGGCTTATCTACAGTCAGAGGACTACAATCTCAGTTTTGACCCATGCCATAGACTGAAATCATTGAAGAAGGAACTTAGAAGTCTTGTGAAATCATCCAAAAGTGAAGAGGATAAGAATTTGCTCCAAACGTTGGCAAGACGTCTTATTCTTCAAACGTACTCGTCAATTGAGATGTCGAATGGTGATTCAAAAGTTTCACAAGAAATGGTGTTCTCTTTTTTTCTGCATATTCAAGGCATTCATCAGTGGTCAGCGCAAAAATTTGAAGATTTGATTCTTGCATTCCCTACCACTAAGACATGAAAGGAAAAGTCCAACAAGAAAGGTTCGAGAAAGTTATGAGATGTACACGGCACATGGGAGATAGCAATCCGAGTCAATTAGTTCAACCATCTTCGCCTCATTTTCAGAGCCTATTATCAATAGTTGCAAAGATTTCATGAGCGATTTGGATAGAATGCGGATCGACAACGTGACATCTTCGTGACATGGAAAGCTTCCATGCCGTTTGTATACGCTATAGACCCAAGCGCAAATACTTCCCTAAAAAAGGTTTTACGAATCGAACTATGCTAGCAGTACTCGCTTTCAATGAAAATCGGCGAGCTGAGTTACGTGGAGAACGGACCGTCCAAGAGGTATACAGGACTTTTTCAAAGTCCAAGGGTGACTTTACTCTGAAAACAAAAATGGGACCGAAATGAAATGTGGAAGCGAGAATTGGTCTCTCAGGTCTTATTGTGCAAAAAGGGGTAGAGGACTTTCTTGGAGGCTCGCGATGGGAGGTTCAGCCATCTCTTGCCGGCGACTTTGAGCTTCCTGTCGAACACCGTCAGAGGCTTCTTGGGCACGATTCCGTTCTTGAGGTGGAAGGAGAGGCACGGCAAGACGAACGTGTTGACCGCATCAGCTTTCTGCCACGGTGCAAGAAGAGATTTGTCGATTGATTCAACGTGGTTTGTCATCTTCTGCAGGCATCTTCGGCTGATGGGGCGCGGTGGTATCCGGTGGGCACTCCGAGGTGTTCGTAAGTGTCGTCTTCTTCGAGGCTCTTCATCTTCTGACCTTGGATCGAGTGTTGTGTCGGGACGGCGCGGCGTTGTTGGCCATCGAGAACGAGCGATGCACACTTCTTGGCGTTGAATGCGAGGTCCAGTCCAGACCAGGCGGCGACGGTGGTGACCACATCGAGCATGTCGTGGAGGCGAACCGAGCTCTTGGAGACGAGGATGATGTCATCGGCGTAGGCGAGCACGTCGATGTCTTGTCCGTTGAGTTGGTACCCACACTGTTGGTCGTGTAGGGCACGAAGCATCGGTTCGAGGGCCAGGTTGAAAGCAATTCACCTCAAGTTTTCAAAATTCTTGTTTTCTTTTTTTGCATTGTCACTTTTCCAGAATATAGAACTTTTCAAACCCCTATCCAATCGATTCCCCGGTTGGATTTCTTTTGCTTCTTCTCTTTCTTATGACGGGAAATTGCTAATCCGTATCCACGAATAACTCTCATCTATCCTCCCTTTCCTCTCTTTTATTTTCTTTTCCTAACATTATTCTTTGCAAATCTGTGGTGTCGGAACGAGTCGGTCGAATCTAATTCTGACTTTATTTCTTTTTTCGCTTCTTTTCTCCGTCCAACTGCCCGATATCCGGTCGAATCTGATCACCAATCCTTTTTTTCTTTGCGCAAATGTAATTTTTTTACAGCTTATACTTGTTTGTTCCTTTAGTTTAGAGTGGATCGATTTCTTTTTTTGTAAGCTTTGAGGAATCTGTCTATTCCATGAAAGCTTTAGCTATCTGCTTTTTGTCAACGTCTATAACCTGGGCTTGACTCCGGAAAGAAATAAATGCAAAAGAAAACTTGGGTAATTAAACCAACGCTACACTAACGATGACAACAAAAATGCGCAAACATTTTTTAGAATCTTTACTGAAAACCATCAAAACATTGCCATCATATTCAAAATCTGTCCCAAATCATGTCTCAATGATGTGTGCATGTTCACAAATCTTTTACTGCTTTTACTTCTTTTACTTTTCAACTCTTTTCTCATTTCTTCATTCCTTATATCCACGTGAATCTAATCAAATCCATTTTCTTTTCTGTTCGGATATTCTTGGAAGGAAATGAAGAAAGTGCCCAAGTCAAGAGAGAAGCCATTTCTCTTTCAATCTTTTCTCCATTTTCCCCATGGCTTCCTTAAAGCTAAATTAAAAACTTTCCCTCCTTTAGCAGATCTTTTCCTTTTTTTGTTGGGTTTATTTTCAACGTCTGAATGTCTAATCTTTTAGGGTTATTCCTTAGATTAGTTCTTGATATAGAGATTCCACCCAATTTGAATTTTAAGAAATGTTATCACTCATCATATCGTGTCTTTATCATCTCACCAGCGGAAAATGCTCACTAACGTTCGCGTTTTCCACTCAATCTAAGCCTCGCCCCTTTTCGCCAATGGCTGCGCACAGACGGACGGACAGACGTCTCTTCTGTTTTATATATAATAGAGATCGTTATATCATATCGTCTTTTACAAAACCCAAACACTTCCTGATGCAAAAGACTTGAGTAATCAAGCCGACTCATATTCAAAACAAAATATTATGGTTGTGATGAAGCTGGCAGTAAGACAGGCAAACTGGCAAAGCTCGAGGGCAGTTTGCCAATAAGATATGATAATTTTGTGTCTTTAAACCGGAAATTACCGAGATGCCTACGTTTTCATACCTCTGTCCCCAAAAAAACTCCAAACTCCCCAATTTTCCAATTTCCGTAAAATCCACCAAATCAAATTCACAATCGCATTTCATAACCACTTTAAGCCCTAAATTTTTTCATTCAAATGATTACTCCTTTCCCAATTTGTTCATTTCCATTTTCCTCAAAATCTCATTGTTGAAGAGAAGCCATGAAATGAGATACAGAGATATCAACCTCATTAGAGATTTCTTTTGTTTCTTCTTCTTCTTTCTCTTCTTCTTTCTCTTCTTCTTTCTCTTCTTCTTTCTCTTCTTCTTTTCAATCACCTCTCTTCCCCACTTCCATTCAACTCAAATATTCTGTGAGATTAACCACAAAAAGGTTACCCAAAGAAAATCGTTTCCATTTTGTTCTGAAATCTCATTTTGAATCAGAAGCAATTCCGGTCGATCTGAGTATTTCACAGTTCATTATTTTCTTATCTTTTGACATAAACTTGCCAGATGACATTAGTTTACAATTTTCAATTATTTTTCTGATTTTTCCTTTGTATTTTACATGCCTCCTTTAGAGATTACAAGTTAAAATCGATTAAATTTACAAATTTTCTTATTTACAACTTATCTCTTCCTCACTTTTGGCTACTTTCTTTTTTGGTAGTTTTGTACAAGTTTTTTACCGGATATGAGAACATTCGGATTGAGAAGAAAAAAGAAAAGAGGATTTCCCCCCTCTTTTCTTCTTTGAGGGAATCCATCTAGAAAAGGATTTCCATAGAATCCTTTCATCGAATCGAAACTACGCAAATGATTGGATTTCTTCACTTTTTATATTGATGTGATATTGAGAAACTCATCTAGGATTAACGAAACATAACGAGAAATGGAAATAAGAATATGATGAGACAAGACAAAGAGAAAAGTTTGATTGTATTGATTGAATTCTTTCAAAAGCGAAGCCACGATGTGGGAAGAGTTCATTCATTTCGTAAAGAAGAAAATTTGATTATCGAAAATTAGTTTGACGCAAAATCAATTTGTCCAAACTGGGTTGTTTTCGAGATGGAGTGTTCAGTTATGGTAGTTGCTGAGAGTCAACGGAAACGGTAGTAAGCTGAGAGTCACGGAAAGTCATGTTCCAACCAGACCTAGCTTCTGGAAGGCCCGGATCACTAGGGAACGGATTTTCATGTATATGTACATAATACAAAGTATTTTTCATATTAGGTTGAGTACTAAGTCTTGCACCGAAACCCATTTTCATTTTCCTCTAAAAACAAATGCCGCGCCAAGCAACTCCTGACTGCCAACTTTGAGGTTCTATAAAAAAGGCAGAAAAAGTTTTTTCGTCAAATCTAAGAATCCACCGTAGAAAAATATTTGAATTTTCTATTAAAACAAAGCATGGGATGTTTGCACATCTCAGTGTTGAGTTACACTTAAAATACCGAGTCCCTGTAATTATTGAACACCTTGCATAAGGACCGCCATCGCCAGGGGGGCGGAGTGAATCCGTGGTGCAGTGGTAGTGCCATTTTCCCTTTTTTGGCACCCGAGTTCGACTTGGATAGACTTTTTTGAATTTTTTTTTGTTTTAATGTTTTGAACATCTTTAGGATCTTCTCTCTTCTCGTGTTGCTTTCTTAACGTTGCTACCAATTCGTTGGAGCCTTTGGGCTAAAATAGCAATAGCAACATCTGGAACCAGATCCATTTCTGAAAAGTAGCTTGGAAATCAATGTTATTTTCGTAAAAGAAAATGAAAATATGAAAAGCAAAAAACCAAAATGAATTGCGCGCAGGGGCAGTCGAGCTCGGGTGTCAAGAAAGGGAAATGGTGGCACTACCATTGCACCACGGATTCACTTCATTGCCTTAACGATGACGGTGCTTATATACCCTGATTAGTGCATTAGGGAGTTAGACTTCTTTTGCGTTTTAAAAAAAATCTAGAGCATTTAGGTAAAAACTAAAAACGTCATCGTGTTACCCGTGTTCGACTGGCGAAACCCATATTGGTTTGATGCGGATTGGCGATGAAATCTGACTTGAGTCTCCCTAGTCAGACTTGAAGCAAAGACAGACCAGAAGGACAGAAGACAGTTCCTAGCCTGACCCGACCGATAGAAATTGCCACGAGTGGATCCAGGAACACAAGATGAAATGGCAACAATAGTTTTCCGATCCCCGACCTTTCCTTTCCAGCTACCCCTTTCTTTCCTCGTGATTCCCCTAATCTCACACAATTTTCTCTAAACATTTCTAATCAATTTCTTGATTGTTTTCAAAAATACCTCCTCCACTTGTCTCCTTTTCTTTTTTTTTGTAAGTCTTTGTGGGGATAATCTCATTTTTTACAAGAGCCCCTTTAATATTTCCCTTCTTCTGACTCATAAAATCTTTCCGGATTCTCAAAACGATTAGCCTACAAAAGCACTTGATTAGGAGTTATCTTTTTTCTTTGATTATACTCGGTATGGGTGAACGATTTTCTTCACTCGTTCATTTTCTGGATGAAATGCTTTCAGGTAATTCAGCCAGAATGTCTTCAGCGGGTAAAGGAGCATATGGTTCATCTCCACCAATACATAAAATGACTCAATCAAGAGAGTCATCAATGGAACACAATGATCGGTTTGTTTATCATATATTCAAAAAGAATACTGACTTTAGATAAAAAGTTAATATTCTTTCGTTTTCAGTTATACCTTTGGCTATTCATCCGAGCTTGCCAATCATGAAAGTACTGTATCGACGGCGAAAAGATTGAGACAACGACTTCAACGACAACAAAGTGGACAATCTGGTAACAAAATAGAATAGAAATGCCTTCAAAAGTTACATAATTCCTTGGTTGTATTGAAAGCTTTCAGATTGAAATCTGTTTTTGAAATCGTATTGAAATCCTTGATCTTTTAGGCTTATCTGGTCGCCGCTATACTGGTGAAAGCAGTGATGGATCATCGATTGTTGGAACACCAACAGACACAGGTAAAATTTGTGAACATTAGAATGAAAATCGAAAATTCCGACTTCAAATATCTCGTTTTCCAGGCCGTTCTTTTACTTTCACGGCCGTTCATCGAAATTTGATCAAAGAGGACCGAAAGCCCTCGGTCACACAAAATTTGAGTGAACAAATGTTGGAAGTGAGTGTGGTTTTGCTCCTTCTGGTACCTCTAAGGATTTCAAGTGAATCTAAAATTCGAAATATTCAGGCAATTCACTATGAGGATATGACAATGGTGGAGCGACTCTTGGCCGCACATAATCTCAACAAACCGCTATCGACATCGCCATCGATTGGTGAGATCTTCGAAGGTTTTTGTAGAAAAGGGCTCAGACCAAAATTATCAAAATATAAATTCTAAAATTGATCTAATAGATTCTTTTAAATAGTGCCTAGGTGTTAAGTTTTCATAGCTACAAATGGATCTTTTCAATGGAACAATGCCATAAAAATTGATCATTTTTATGGCATTGTTCCCTAGTAATAGACAAAGCCAGTTTTTTTGTCGTTTTGCTGATTATATTTCATTTTTTAACTTTTCTAACTCTAACCACAGGCTCAACGAACACTCTCACTGATTTGGCTCAAAGACGTCACGGGAATAATCATCGGAGATCGAACGCCAGCAGCACCGTTTCCACGCATTCTGGCGGAAAGTAGGAGATTTTTGCTTTTTTTAGTACATTTCGATTTAATAACTATTCTATTTCTTAATTCTGTTTGTTCAGATCAACTTGTGCAGTGCTCAACACTCTCCACATGGCTGTCGCCCACAAACAAAAGGTTTGGTTTCACTAAAGTTTTGTTGATGATGTTGATTCTATTATATATTTCTTACCTGATGGCAAAAGTTCTTATTTTTACTTTAAATTCAACTTTAGGATATCGCTGAACTGCTATTGAAAAGTGGATACGATCCAAATGCTACAGCGACGTGCCATTGTAAAGGAAACTGTACAGCAAGTGGAAATATCCCGTTGACAACAATTATTCCAAGGTCCGTTGAAATTTACTAAATCATTTAGCGATTCGAATTTTCTCTAGAACCCATTCAATGACTCCCGAGATCTGCTCGATTTGCACCCAACTCCGCGCGGTCACAATCATCGATCAGACACCGTTGGGGGTGGCGGTGCGAGTGCAAAGTGCTGAACTCATCGCTCTTCTTATTGCATATGGAGCTGACGTGAATCTAGGTAAATTTTATCAAAGTATAATAAAAGTCGACTCTTTGTAGTAATACATTAATGTTTTACTTACAGGAGACGATGATGGGAATACACCGTTACTCTTGGCTGCCCGAGATTCTCCACTTAATTGGACTTGTCTTCACACTTTGATTTTCTTCGGGGCACAGTGAGATTTTGGTCTTTGGTTTTATATATAATTACGTCCAAAACGGAACAAAAATTTTTGTTTTGATCAGTTTCAGACGTCTGAAACTGAATTCAACTAGTTCCTGCATCTACAGGGTCCATGAAAAGTTCTGTCACTTCCTAAAAGACTACTTTTACAATGTTTTATGAAGTTTCCAAGACTCAAAACCTACAAAATTTGATTTTTCAAGTGTTTTTACACTAGAAAATTGTTTCATATTTTCTATTTTACTCATATAGAAAATTTTATAGAACTTTTTATGAAAACATTTGAAGTACCCTCTGGTCACAGGTCAAAATAGCTTTCCTAGCTTCGTAGCAAATTAGAATTTGATATTTTCATGAGTTTTTAGTCACTATTTAGCTATAAAAACAGTTTCTTATAATTTATTATGGCTTTGAATATGCAGTTGAGCATTCTCGTTCCCATTTAAGGCCCTGCTTCAAATCGACTTGTGCAGCTTTGAGGTCTAATGTCATCTAAAAATGCTTGAAAAATCTAATTTTGTAGGTTTTGAGTCTTAGAAACTTCATAACGCATTGTAAAAGTAGTCTTTTAGAAAGGGACAGAACTTTTCACGCACCTTGTATATCAACAAAAGCAGAATCTAAAATTAAAAGAAACTAAACGAAAAGAATCTTCATTCAGTTTCGGACATATTATATACAAATTACGATCACATTTCCTAATTCTGACTGTTTGAACATTTTTGTCTGTTTTCAGAATTGAGAAGAAAAATATGCGAGGAATTTGCCCACTCGATCTAGCACCCGAATTGAGAAGTTTGCAACAAACATGTGTTGAAGAATTGTTCAAGGTTGGAAAAGTACCAATATAGTTTTTCATTTTTTTGTATTGTACGGCTTTTCGACTATAATTCCAGCTTTACCCACAAAATTTTTCATCTTTTTAATGACTACGAAAATTTATCTCTGATTTGACCCAGTTCATATCAGGAAAATATTTGTGCTTTCATATTGTATCCAAAATTGTAGGTGGCTTGCTCTGGACAAGAAAAGGAGCATTCGAGACTTGGGTTTTCTACTCCAAGATCCGCTCACAATCATCGTTTGCAAGTGGATAACGGTTTGTGATAGATCTATATTTGGCTTTAGATTAAACTTTTAAACTTGTTCTCAATTTGATTTGATCCAAAGACCTTGCTAAAGTCGTATTTTTCAGTGTCCCAAGGCGAGCGTCATTCTCTGAACAAAGCTCCACTCTCTCCTCGTCCATCAGCCGCTCCTTCAGTCTCAACTTGCTCACTACTCGGTATAAACAGAAAATCAAGTTAACTAGTTAAGCAGCATTGACTTGTTTTTAAGCTCAGCAAGTCTACGATGTTAAAAAGCAAGACTAACAAGTAACTTCCAGAAACTGTAACCGCAAAAGAAACAGCGAGACGCAAATCACTGGTCTCCCTTCAGTTGCAGAGAAAAAATCGGGGAACGAAAGACAATAGAGATCTGGCGGCAGCTGCAAGGAGATGCTTTGCACATCATAGAAGTCAGTTTACCGTTAATAATAGCGAGGAATATATAGTAGCGCTCAAAATGGTTTAGACGATGGTATTTTTTTCTCTTTTTGAGAGAGATATCGACTTACACTCAAAAAAGTTGTACCTTGATCAGTTTCTAATATTATGAGCCTAAAAGCCCTTATCTGGTTCAAGTTTTTACCATAAAATTTTTGATTCTCCTGAGTTCGGCGCAAGCTCAAATTGTTTAACTTTATAACTAAGCATTTTTGAGCAGATCTGACCTCAAATTCAGATTCTCCATGTACTTTTTAGACTAAAAAATACATGGAGAGAATTCTATAGTAAGAACTCGAACTAGATAAGAGCTTTTAGGCTCATAATATTAGAAACTGATCAAGGTACAACTTTGTTTTTGACTGTAAGTCGATATCTCACAAAGAGAAAAAAAATACTACCGTCTACCACCGTCTGTCTAAATCGTTTTGAGCGCTATCATAGACTATATAGTATATAGTAAAAGTCGTAGTAAATAATAAAAAAACGCCTATTGACTTTTACCCAAAACTTTAGATGCTCTTGATCCGGTGATCGATAATGTGAGCTGGGAACAAGCGTGGGAGCTCCTCAAAAAGATGGCCTCAAATCCCGAATGCTTAGAAGTGATTCAGGTAAAGATATTAGTAATTTTGAGGCTAAATTGAAGTTTTTTCAGAACTCTTTGATCAAGTGTGCGAAAGAGCTCGAGAATGTCTCACAAAATGTCGACCATGAGGCTTTTGAATCACATTTAGGCGGCTTACTTCACAAATTAATCCTGGTATTGTTTTTGTTGACTAAATATCTTTATTCATCAAATTTAGACAGCTATCGAGTTCTACGATTCAGCCACGCCGACCTACAAGAAAACCCGAAAACAACAGCTTATTTCTATTTTGGCTTCTTTGTCAAAATTCTGCTTTCAATTCTTGCAGATCACTGGCACTGTGAGACAATTCTCTGCATTGAGCACTTTAAATAAGGTAAATGGAATTTTTGAAGAAATCTAAACCCATTCTCCAGATCATTGATGCCGGTTTGGTCTACGAGTTGTTCACTCAGCCCGATATTTCATTCGTTTCTTCAAAGTTATTGAATCGAACTCATGCCTTTGACTCGGATTCCCCGGAAAGTCCAATGGGTGGGTAAAGCTTTATGAATTCTTGTAGCTTGAATTACTTACTCTTTTTTCTGTCATTATCCCAAATCATTTCAGAAAGTCCATTCATGTCTCAAGGAGATCATTGTTCAACTGTCGATCATGTCTACATCTATACAACAAGAGATGGAGCCGCTTCTCCGAATCCACCAATGGCTCACCCCGATGCTCTCATTCAGTCCTTTCATGATTCATGTCCTAGTCAAGGTAGTCAATTAACAATACTACTTTGACATTTTCAACAACTCATTTAGTCTTAATGTGTCTCCACAATGCGATCACTTTGGGGAATCGTGAGGCAGGAACTCGCTCTGTCTGCAGTCCCGCTCATCGATGGAGATATTGTAGTGCTCATTGTACCCAGGTAAGCTTGTCCTTTACTTGAGTAACTTTTTCTCTTTACAGATCTTAATCGCTCGTTTGCTGCTTTTTCTCACTCACATGTTGAACTTTCGGCAACGGTTGAGTTCAAGGAAGAACTTGAAAAATCTCATGCAATTATTGGAACCAACTCTGGAGCCGGTAAGCCTTCTGGAATTTCCATTTTCAATCCAAATTTCAGCAACTTCTTTGTCTGCTCCTTCAATGTGTGGCCCTTGTGGCGTTGGATTCATCAACTCATCCAGTCTTTCTCGATCTTCAAATTGACGATGTTCTAATGCAAATGTTATTGCCAGCTGATGATTGGTAATAAAACCTAGAGATTGTAATCATTTCAATTTCTAGGTATTACACGAATCATTCCACCAAGTTTGGCCACTTTGTCAAATACCATGCCGCTCGGATTCTCATCTACGTGGGAATGGGCGAAAGAGTGGGAAGTCGAGTGAATATCTTTCACATGCTTGGTCAGGATTACATGTTTACCGTTTGCACAATCAAAAGTTTAAGCTGCTACTGAAAAACTCGAGAAACCGGATGCAAAAGAGCCAAAAGAGGTGAAAGAGCTTCGAGCAACCAAATCGAATTATCCGATTGAAGATGAATATATTTGTGCTACATGTGCAACGCCTAGGTAAACTTTAAATCTACTATATACAGGGCGCCCCAACAGATCTGCTACTTTTCTAAGATAGTCAAAGGTCTAAACTTGTTTAATTTTATACCAATCGAAGGTAACAAGTTGTTTATTTAACGCTAAACTAACAAAAAAAGTATAACAAATGTTTAAAATTTCCGCCATCAGCTTCAACACACTTCTTTAATCGCTTGGGGAAGCTCTTGACGATGGTCGCACATTGCTGCATGGTGATTTCAGCCTAGGCTTTCTTTAAAGCGGCTTTCAAAGCATCCACTGTGTGAAAACGCTTGCCTGAGAACTTGTCTTTCAAAATTTACCACACTGAAAAGTCAAGAGGGTTCAAATCGAGGCTATTCGAAGGCAAAAACATCTGATTGCAAAGTTGAGGAGTTGAACGGGCTCTGTGGGCCGGAATCCAATCTTGTTGAAGGGTAAATCTGTTCTGTCCGAAATTATTTAAGGCCCAAAGCTCTAAGACATCCTTCAGAACCATTTGTTGATAGATTCCAGCATTGATTTTTACGTTTCGGTCCAAAAAGACGAGTGGAGTCTTTCCTGTGGCACAGATTCCACCGCACGCCATCACAGAAGCTGGGAAATGTTGTCTAACCATCAATTTTGCTGCAAATGTGTTTTTAAGACCTCGTGTAAGCAGCTGACAATGATTTTGGCGATTGTGTAGCGGTTGGATGATAAAAATATTACAAAACCACGGCAACAAAACTACGCGTCAACCCCAAAAAATTCAGCCAAAAAAAACAGAAATTTAGCCGTTAGACGGATTTTTCGGCTGGTCTAAAATCATTCTGTAAACAAAACAATTCCAGAAGCATGGCTACATTCAGCAAGAATGCGATGGGTGTCGAGGGTTTTATGCTCAAATTGTTACATGAAGTCTCTGAGGTAGAGTTACACTGGCTTTCAAAGACACAAAGTGATACAAGCCAATTTGAAAGACTACAGTATATCGGTGTAAAATCGGATTCCTTTTACGACAGTTTACTGTAGTAAGACAAGAGGCTGGAATACTACAGCTATAATTAAACGTTTCAGTTAGCAAAGAATGCTCCAAATCTTTCCGCAGCTCAGCCGATTAAAGAAGAAGATCCGAAAACCGAATCCCCACCGCCTGATGTTGAGAGACACACATCAGTTTCACCGGTATACTGATGAAAGTAACAAAAAATTGGTAATCCTTCAGCTTGTCGAAGCACGGGCTGCCCAAGAACAACTCAACAAAACCACATCATTTCAACTATTATTCTCTCTGGAGTCTCTTGAAGCTCATCTATGCAAATTGGGACTGGTTTTGGACAATGTTCTCTTTGTTAAGATTACTCATGCATAAACTCACATGGGATCTCGGATTGGTGGCAAAGAAGAAAGTTGTGCCTAAGGTGGAAATTCTTTGTGAAAACCTTTTTTTATGTTTTTCTTCCAGGCAATCGACTCAACTCCCCACAAAACAATCACCGATCCGAGAGCCACTTCAAGTCTCAGTCTTGGAGCTAACACGTAAAATTTACGATGCATTTAATAATATCAAACTATTCTAGTGGCTATGTGAAGTCAAAATCATTTGATCGACGGGATGATCTTCAGGGAAAAGATAGAAATTATTTGCGAGTGCACCAAGGATCAAGATCGTCAAATAAAAGAGTTCACATCCGAAGATCGAGGTGAGGAAAGAGATTAAAATTATAAAAACTATCAAATTTCATCCATTATTTTCAGTTCTGTGGAGATCATTCGCCCAAAGCGTTTCAGTTCCGGAGCCAAGGACTTGAAGGATAAAGAACGAAGGAAAAGGTTTTGAAAACAAACGAAGATTTGTAGAGAAAGGCTTTAGGTTGGGTACTGATACAAGCAGTGGATCGAATCGATCAAAGAAGACAACCTCGTCGAGCTCTTCTGTACAAAAACACCTCCCTAAATATATCCAATCGCTTTTTCGCGGAAGAATGGGAACCGATCCATGCAAGAGACACTCAAGACGTAAGTATTATTGAAATTTTCGAATAGATAATACTTTAGCTAATACTTTGAAAAAGTCCAAGCAGAGTTTAGCCTCGGGAGACTCAAGCCCGGAAAGTCCATCATCTGGCTCGGATCCAGTGCTGGAGTTCACGAAGAAACTCCAAAACTATCCACCCACGAAAAGGGAAGAAATGAAGCAAGCTTACAGAAGCAGGTAACAGTATTACCGTCCTTATTGTAATAGAAGCCCCGGGGCTTCTATTCTTCAATGCAAAAATTAGAAATCGAACAAATTTTTGTGATAGATTCCTGGTAACAACCCCGTTCTCCAGCTCAATCGACGTCAAGTGTCGCCTGCCTCCTTTCTAACGTTTTGCTTGGCCTTCTTGCTGCACAAGCTTTTTTTTCCGATCCATCGTCAAAGCATTGCACGATCAACTCGATACTTCTGTGCGAACGCATGCATAGAAAATTTGGCGTATTTGAAATCTTCCAATTTGAGCTGCTTTGAATAGGCCTTGCGCTTTCGGGAAGGATCTAGTGTTTCTTCATCGTTCTCCGAACATTGGGCGATAGTTTCCTCTTCAGTTCTCTCATCCACCTCGCTCACTGGCCAGACCTGATCGTAGAGACCTCGCATGTGCTCACATCCCACCTCGGAAAATCCCTGCACTAATAAAAGTGTAAAATACCTATTTTTGGTTATGATAATTTTTGGGTTACGGTATAAAAAGCTCAAAATAAAAAAGGGACTTCTATTAGAGTTTTACGGTATTTGTTTATTGAAACCTTATCGCATTATTCAGCTTCCGACAACAGCAAGACTCGTCAGCTGACAGTAATCCGTCAGCTCCACCAAAACCCCCACGAGTCATCCCATACACATATTTGCCAGAACTCGAAGTTTCTGGGGCTAGTCCACCCAGGTAAAACACAAATGAATAAGTAACAAAATTAATATTCTTTTTGTAGAACGCCAGCCAATGGCTCAAAAGATGATGGTCTCAATCCCCCATCCCTTTTTGATCGGCGACCCAGCAGTCCATTGGTTAGTGTGATGGTAAATATTTATTTCATTTCTTAGCTTATGGAATAGTTTTATTACTATTATACCTTATTTTAATATGTACTTTCTCATTCAAAATTCTAGGCCATTCCCGGAGTTCCGCAAATCGAGATCAGACGCCCATCGGCAATGTCCCAATTTGAGTTTGGCTACTTTGTGAATTCACCAGATAGGTAAATTTTGATTGGTAAAGTGAATGTAATTTAAAGTACAATGTACTATGCTAACTGTTTAGTAGAAGTGGTAGTGAAGCGTCGGATTGTGCACCGCTTCTTGTCGCCGGACAAGCCGCAAGCAATAAAGATGCTGATGGGAGCAGAAAGAGTTCGGAAGGTTGGAAATCGGTCTTTTATCGAACTTGTTGATGTGATATTCTATTCTGACTACTCTAGAATACTATCAAAGTTTGCCAGTAATCAATCCTTGGCTCAATGTTTAGAGTCATCAATGGGTGATTGGTCCTCTCGTGCATCTTCGGTGATTTCGCAAAGAAGTTCCCGTTCTTCGGCCGGTCTTCGATTGTCCACTTTCAGGTTTAAAATCATGCAATTCTGCAATTCTGTAATCCTTGATCTCCAGATTTGCCTCCTTTCAGAACACTTTTATTTTAACCTTTGAATCGAGAATGTACACACAAAAAGTGTGTTCTGATGGATAAGCCGATTACGAAAATCAATTCTAAAAAGTTTCAAAACACTCTGAATCCATTTTTTTCATGGCATATTTGGTATAAAATCTTTTAGATTTCACGTCAAATGATTTAATCCGTTTTTAAAAAAACAATCCATTTAGTGCTGGAACGAGTATCGCCTCGGACAACTCGGGACCATTTCTTTTTAGCTTTGTTATAAGGTAATGTAAAATAATGTTTATTTAAGTGTCTTATTTTATTCAGGAAACGAGCTTCAACAATTGGCACCCGAATTCCTTTGCCGAAACGAGTTGGCTCGAGGAGTAGTGGGGATTCTTTGAGAGTTCCTGACAGAGAGGTAACGAACTTCAAATTTTAACCTACTTATTAGTTGATCGATTACTTCTAATAATAAACAATCTGAAAACCTGTAACATTTAATAATTTGAAGTTTAAAGAGCCCCTTGTTGCTGTCGATGAGCGAAATGAACCCCGATTTTCAATGTGTTCGACAATTGATCGTCACATTGTTGAATGTGCATACAAAAGTTGGTTTACTGATTAATATCTGTGCTTATATATAATTAATCAATATCTGACATACAGGAAAACGATAATGTGATGGCAACAATGAAAGAATGCTCCCAAGTACTTCGACAAATTCTCAACTCTCCTCAACATCCGACTGTCAAAAATTGGTCTGTCTCGATTTTAAAGCATTGCTTGGTATTATTTTGATCTCTAAATTTTTACTAGCAAGATATGAGAATATTAGGCTGGTGAATAAGTCTTTTCGTTCCTTTTTATACTTCTGTTCAAAAATAACAAATTCATCAATTCACCATTTTTAATGAAACAAACCGTAATTCACGTGCATTTGTTAGTTTTAAACGGAAGTACGAAAAAACGAAAAGACTCTCTAGACACCCTAAAAACGAACATCAGTAGTAGTAACAATTTGAAGATATTGTTAGTAGTCAGAAACAAGGACTTATTCACCAACCTAATACAATTTCTATCATTTCTAGGTGTGCTGATATAATCCAAGTCGTCTCGACATCCGTTGAACACATGGAGAATCAAGAAAAAGAGACACAACATGAAGCAATCAATGATGAATATCTTGAGGTGATCAAAGAAACCAAAAAGCAAAACATTCAGTTTAGGTGCAAGATCAAGTGATTTCCGGTGGATTACCGTGCCCAAAAGAAGAAGCCGCTTATCTTGCAGCAATCCAGTTATGCGTTGAGGAACAATGGCCACACAATAAGAGAACGCAAACGATTAGGAGACATTTGCTGAAAGGACAATTTGGTTTAATAAACCTTAAGTTAGATATAAAAACTGGAACTTCAGGTAGAATTCGAGATCTAGCGTTGAAGATCATGATCACTCCATGGGAAGTCGATCAGAGTCTATATTGCACTCCACCTAGAACTCAATCTGATGCGGCTAGGTAAGGAAGCTTTAAGGCTTGTAAGTAAAAACAAAATTATGCCTATGAATTTGTCTGGATCTGCTTGATCTTCTTTTCTTTCAGGAACGAGTTAGAAGTAGTGAATGCGGTTATGTCGAGAAAAGGAGCTCATCCACAAAGAGGAAACAGTGATGACAGTGCAACGAGAAGGGGCATTTTACTGAGGTTGGTCTGAATCTTATAAAAAAAAATAGAAAATTTATTCAACCCTCGTTTCAGATGTATCCCGCACAGTGACACGAGAATGAGCGACGAGTTGCAAGCCCTCTGCCTTCCCATTGATTTGAGGGGTGATCGAAGAACGTTAAAGTTTGTTCGGGTTAGTAAAGCTTGAAGCAAACTCTGAAAACTTCATTTTTAGGATCGTAAACGAAAACTTTTCCATTCTCAAGTCTATGAGAGTGAAGTGGGAATGAAGAAACTCTACATTCAGGTGCAAAATCCACCAAAACGAACAAAGGTTTTAAATTTCAGATTGCCAAAAAGCTGGCTGCTTTCGGGTGCAAAGTTTTTCAAGTCAAAGAAGTTTTACACGGGAGAACGTTGAGAAAAGTTTATAGCATCAGATTTTTTAACTCGTTAATTGTCTTTAGACTTTACGACTTCTGTGTTTGAGTAGCACATCACTGTGTCTTCTGGATGGAATCAGCAAATTGGTGCTGAAGAAGCAACATGCAAATACTCTGCAACAAGTGAAGAACTTTAGAAAAAGATTTGACTGGTTTATTTTTAGTGGAGAGTCGGTGGAGGTGTCTCAAAACATCAGATACTTTTGGAGTTTCGTGGCAATAAATGGCAGTTGATTGGTAAGTTATGGATTGGTTACATTTTTAACACATTGGCGACGATACGGTTCACCGGTAGATTTAGTCATTTTTTTGAGGCCGATTGAGCTAAAAATTTGCAATCAGGGATTTTCGTGGATGAGGAATTCGAATCCGTTATTAGTTTTTAAAGAAAACTGCTCTATTTTTGGATATTTCATTCGGTTTAATTCGTCGTGAATGTGTTAAACAACGAAGTTTCAGCTCCCTCATTCAACTCTCTCAAATCGATCTCAATGACCCTTTGGGAAATCCAGCAGAATCGTGTCAGCAACTCTATCCAAAAATCGCTGAATACAGGACATCGAAGAAGTATTTGTGCAAGTACAGGTGTTAAACAAAAATTTCTGTTGAAAATCTCCCATTTAGCCACCTCTCGATCCGGCTCTACAATCTCTAGGACATCACAAATTCTGAGTGGAAACTTCTCTCTTGAACCAGTGACACTGTTTCGATTAGAGCTAGAGCGACTACAGTACATTCTTCATTTTCCTGAAGAAGTCGCTTACCAAGTGATTGTTAATTTGCTATAATTGTATTGCTTTTTTAGCTCTCACATACTGAATATCAACTCTTCTATGGAATTCAACCAATGGACTATGTTCGATATGTGATCTGTGACCAAACTGGAATCTCCGTGTTGGAGAACTCGAGTCCTGTGAGGAGTCTTGTGAAAAGGCTCAGTGAGGTAATGAGTTTTATTCATTGGCTAATTGCAAGTCAAACTTGAACAATCTGCATAAACTGTATGTCATTTTATAGGTTTCCTCCTGGATTACGCATGTGATCGTCTCTCAACCCACTCATGATGATCGAAAGATTGCTCTTGCTTCCATATTGAGAATTATCGAAACATGTTGGCAAATCGGTATTTGATTGCCTTATAAAAAAATTTAACATTCAAATTTAGGAAACTTCAACGCAGCAGTCGAGATCTTGACCGGGCTCAGCAATGAGAAACTCGGGCCTTTTTGGTTGAGTTTGAGACCCGACGAGAAACAGAAATATGAGGAGGTAAACTTAAAGCATTTTAGCATTTCGCTCATTATTAATACCGGGTATTCAATATTTATGGGGACTTTTAAGCTCGCAGGTTGTTTAGCGCTCTCAAAATTGGTTTATGAGAAAAAAATCGTTAAGAAAGCATTGCATAGGAGTTGGAAAAAACTCGACTTTCTAGATTATTTTTACAGTTTACTGAATTTGATATTCCAAAAATCGATTCAACAGAACTCGCTCACCAAATTTTACCAAAAGGAGTCAGACCTCAGTTGTTCTTGTTTAACGATGAGAAAGTCTTTTGCAATAATTTTTGGAAAAACTAACTTAAAGTTGTTAGTTAACGTTGGGCGTATTGATCAGTGTGTTTCCTTTTTAGCATTAAACTTGTACAAAATGAGCTCTAAAACTAGTAATCGACTGGTCCCCATAAATATTGAACACCCTGTATACTCTCTTTTAGTTCTGTGACATCATGTTACCGGATAAAGTGAAGGGAAATCCCTCAAAGCAATACATCCAAGCAGTACAGAGGGCTCTGCGAATGCCTCAATGCAGAATTATTCCCTTCTTTGGAATGTTTTTGCGGTGAGTAGCGACTAACGACAAAGCGGTAACTATTGTGCCCAAGAATCTAAGTTCTATCTGACTTGTCTTATCCAAACTGTTCAGTGATCTCTATTCGATCAGCAACGAGATGTCCCATATTGTTCTGATTGGTCATGAGGGGAACAAAGAGAGATTAGAGGTAATCATAGGGTGTCCAATAAAAAAATACAAGCAATATACTAGCAATCTATTATTAAAGACTGATTTTTATCACAAACTTTCAGTTTGTGACGGATTCGAATGGCGAGGATCACTTCTCATCAAAAATCGGTGTTGGTGGATTGTTAAATGCTGACAAGATCAACCTAGTTGCCATTATTCTCGACAATATGGAGATATTTCATCGGCATAGGTTGAGCTTATTTTGAAAAGCTTATCGTATTTTCAAATTACGCTTTCAGCCGGAACATGATGAATTACTTGGAAGATGCTTGCCACAATAAACCTGAAGTTCAACCGGAGATCAAAGGTAATTTTACAATAAATTACAGCTTGAAAGGATTACAACGTTGTTAATCTTTGAAACTTTATGATGTTTCAGGTTATGAACCAGTTCAACCAGCTTCCGGCTCTGGACATGGAGTGACAATGATTCCCTTGGACACAAACAGATTCGATCTTGACATCATCCAACGGCTCCAACATGGAACTACAGTACTTGAAAGAATAACGTAGCATTCTTGATATTTTCAGGTGATTCATTATGATGCCGACTCAGGTCGATCGGTGCTTTGTGTTCTTCGATTGGATTCATCTTGTGGAAGTCTTCAATGGAGCAAAGTGCATGGGATTGGAAATAGGGATAGCTTTAAGATGAAGGTAATGAAAGAAGAAATAACGATTCAACTTTTCAATAACTTTAATTTCAATTCAGGATCCATTAACTACATCAACACCAAGTGTTCCCACGACGAATCTTGAAAGCACGAGATCTCCTCTGCCAGGAAGTGGTCCACGTTTGTCAGGTAGTTGAAGTCTCTAACTACAAAAATTTTGCTACTTATCGATTTGATTAATACTTATCTTTAATATTTATCGACGTATCTTTAATAGATTAATACTTATCGACTCCACTTGACAAATACAGATCTTCAAATCTTTTTCAGAAGAAGGCGAGCTTCGGCTCAATCACGTTAAAGCGATCGAACAAATGGACAGCTATGGGGTGGATATTGAAGTAAAGACTAGTTTTGAAATTTCATTTCAAATCTCGTTTAGGCAATCTATCGTCGCCATTCCTGTGAAGAGATGTCTGTGCCTGTACAATGTTGGAAGGTTTGCACAACTAGAGGTCCTAAAAATCACTCTTCCAGGTCTCCTATGGACAAGTTTTGCCAGAGAACGAATGTCTCTATTTCTTGGCTCCTCAACACATTGCACAATATTGGATTCACGGATTGCAAAGAGTGATTTATAGTTCTTTACCGTTAATAGGTTTCTTAGGTGGTTGAGGCTCTACACATTCAACAGAAGAATCCGGATAGAAGGATGCTTTGGTTGAAGAATCTTTTTCTTCAACTTTACAGGGTAATTGAGAAATCTTTATTTGAGCCTTTATTACATATGTAGAGGATTCTATAGCTTTGACAGCTTTTTTTTTCAGGAAAGCCAAGCGGATGCCGATAATTGTGGTCGTTCGCTTGGTCCTCGCCCCTTCGATGCCTTGCAAGCATTTGGTGGACGTGTTGAACGATGGAGAGGATTTGGTGAGATAAAATGAAATTAATGGCAATAACAAAGATATTAAACAATCCCCGTTTTGCAATTTATCAAGAAAGTATTTTTTCAGTTCCCGGAATTCCCCAAAACACTCCATGTGCAAGCCGAGCGGAAAACTCGAACTCAAACAGTGATCTTGGAGGAACGAGAAATAGGTGAGAACAAAACTCAATTCACCGCTTAAAATTTCTGTGTCTAGATTGATCAACTTCAAAAATGCTATGAAAATCAAGCTGCGTGGAACGTCGAGAGATGCGAGTCGATCACAAAGCCCTCAACCGCAGAGTCCTTTGGTTGGTACTAATAATTTAGCTTTACTTCTTTATAACTTCAAATTCTAAACTTAAACATCTTCATTTGCTCAATCTGAGTTTCTAGGTCCGTCCACCATCAATCAAATCCCAGATGTCATGTCAATCCGGTCCAGCCGGTCCCAATTCTCCCGGCTATTACCTGAAACCGAGAGGAGAAACTGCGCTGAGCGATACAGGTACTTTAGAAAGTAGTGAATACGAGTAGTCAAAATGAAAAATTAACGACAAATCCTAGGAGATCTCGACAGTATCTACACCCCTCGAAGTCGCACCCCAACAAGCTCAAGTCATGGAGGTATTCTTTCAGACAAAAGTTTTCTAGAATAAAACAGACTACCCAGGATCGTTCTTTGCCGGAATTGACAGCATTTCGGCGAGAAGCAGAACACCGACAAGTTACAGTCATGGAGGTGGAAAGCATTCGAGAATTAATAATTTAGAAAGTTAAGGTCGATCGGTGGGTGGACGATCGACGAAATCGTGGAGATCGCGGGGTGGAGAGACACCGAATTCGGGGAGTATCTCGAGCAGTGGACAGGTGGGTTTCAAAACAAGGGAAAAAAATTCAAAGAGCTATTCAATTACGGTAGGCAAATCTTATTTAAAATAAAATTATTGCAGTTTCAATCGCAGCTTTTTTTTGGGACCAGAAGTTAATCTAAAATGAAAGTTATTCAATTGAAAAGAAAGAGTAAAAGAAAGAAGCGTAGAGAAAACGAACTAATAGTAAGAAGTGTTGAGAGAAAAAGTGAAAAAACGTTAACGCGCTCCTTATATAGTGCGATTCACAAGTAAAAGATATTGATATTCAACCCATTTAATTTGCATATGCACCAATTTGTTTAATTAACGCATGAATTGAGATAAATCTTAATTAATTGACCTTTAATCAATTAAAAATTTGTTTATGCAAATTTTTTCAATTAATTATTTAATCACGAGAAACACACTCTAGATGAAACTTATCAAGTACTGTGCCCAAAGTCTGAATGTGTTTGGTCGAATAAGTCCGGTAGTATTCAAGAAAAACTGATCGCTATCAGTTTTTCATTTCCTTATAAAGTAGCCGAATTCAACAAAAAAGCATTTACCCGGATTTGCTCAAAAAAGACGGGTCAACAGTCAGCCGGTGGCCGGAAAATCAGAAAAAAAAAAGCGTTAAAAAAGCGTTGAGCGGTCGGAGTCGTAAAGTGCGTAACCGATCCGGGGGCTATGATAACAATGGACTCTCTCTTTTCTGTAAACCTTTCCCGAAAATTGCTCGTTAACATTTTTTTTCTTGATCTCTTGACACCTTTGAAAGGGAAAAACGAAAGTTTGGCTGTTATTTTTGGGATTTTTTCGATTAATGACTTGTTGATTACTGCTTAATAGCTGTTTTGTGTCAAACATTGATTTTTAGCGAGTCTTCTTTTGAAATATCATTTTGTTAGTGATCATTTGTGATTCTGATTCACACCTTGCTTGGAAATTAGTTACTTGGATTTTTAAGGCATGAAAAAATTACTGCACTCGTAGTACTCGTGTTTTCCTAATCAAGCCTCATTTCCGTATCCGGTCGTATTTTTTTTTTTTGATAAAGGAGTGTTCCAAGCTCGACTATATTTTGTCTATAAGATTTTTGACAGAATCAGGATTTCAAACAGCAATTTTTCAACCCACAAATCCATCATTCCATTTCTAATTTCATTCCGCTGATCAAATCGCCTCTTTGCACTATTTCCGAGCAATTCTTTTTCTTTTTTATTTTATTCGAATTTCCATGGTTTTTCTTTTTCTATTTTTTAACGGACCTCAAATGAGGAACCCAATTTTTAGTTCATTTAACGAAAGAAATTTTCTTTTCGCTGTCCAATTTTCTCCATCGACAAATCAAATTGGATCGGTGCGGAGATTATTTTTGAACAGACCACTCACGGAGAACTCAAAAATCACTTCTGCAGAAAAAGATATTCGAAAAATTTGAGAAAATTATTCCCGGAAATTTGTGGAAACAATTCTGATTGAGTGGAGTTTGTTAAGCGGACTCATTTTTTGATATTTTTACTCGATTAGAATATGAATGTTAAATGTTGCTTTGTGAGCCCTGAATGCATTCTGTTCATCATCTAACACGGGCATTCACTAAAGTGAGTTTAAAATTGGGAATTCTAACAATTATAGGAAGACAAATACTGTCGTTGAATCAGAAAAAGGCTTGAGCTCAACATTTCCCCTTGGTAGCAATGAGAAGTATTACGTAAAACCTTTAGAATATTGCAAAAACAGCAATCATCGCACCAATAACAGTTTTATCTTTTCAATATTCAGATCTCGAGTCTAAATGGACCATCAGGGAAAGAATATCAAGAAAAACCCTTGTCACTGCTCGAATTCACCGAACTTTTCCGATTGTTCAACACTCGAATGAGGAAAGATTTGAAGTAAGTTTTTGGTTGAAAATGAGACTTGTAAACCGATTACATCCAATCAGCTAAGTATTTTAGATTTAGAATTTAACTTTTCTTCCACTCCAAACAACCAAAATTACAATAATTTTCCTTTTTGACTTCTGATTAGTGATGACGCAGAGAGAAAAGATTTTTTGGTTAGAGACAGCCACACCTAATCTTCCCCAAACACTCATTCAGATGAAAGAGAAAGGTGAAAAAAAAATTAAAAACAAACAAACATTGCTTAGTGTGGATTGATATTGCTTATCCAATAATCAACTATAAAACTTGACTTTTACTAATAAGATCATCATTTACTAAAGACTGAATTGTTTATTTTTCATTCATGTTGAAACTGTTCTGTTTGAAAGGAAAGAAAGAGTAAGCTGTTTGAAATAGTTGAATAAAGATCTCAATTATCTTTTAACTATTTAAAAACAAAAAACATTTATAAATCCTTTAGGGATGTTTTCCATGAGATTGTCCAATCAACCCCATCACATTCGCATGCACAGAAAAGTGCAAGAGACAGAGGATCGCCTCGAATGCAAAGCCGACTCGATTCTGGGGCACCCGTGCAGGAATTTCTGCCTATTGGTTTGTCTGATTTAAGCTTCAAATTAGATAATACTAAAAAGATATTTTTGTTAAAGTATTCAGTTATCTATTTCAATGTAATGCTCATTTCAGACTTCTTGACTCGAAATGTCGCCCTTCAGACTCTTGGTTTGAGTGAAAAACAAAACAAGATCTACAATGCTTTGGCAATTGCTAGCGTTAACAGGTTAAAAGCTTAACGTTTCATTTAATTTATCTCCTTCTTTTCAGCCTTACAATGGGCGGAATGGACACATCGCGATCAGCCCATCTCACTCCATCAATGGTCAAACAATTTCTCGCCACTCATCAAATGCTTGTCGTTGATGAGAGCTACTGTATTCAGATTATTATGGTAAGATTTTGATAATGTTTAAACTTCTTTAATCATTTCAGGAACACGAACCAGACCCTCATTGTCGTCAGAAACAACTCCTCTCTTTTGAAGGCTTTGTTCGATGGTTAACCGATCCCTCCAATTTTGCTTTTGTGCCCGAAAATGTTGATGTTAGTTTAAGAAATCTGCTAAATCGAAGTTTATTTCAGCCAGATGAAAGTCAACTCAACTATCCACTTTCTTACTATTACATAAACTCATCGCATAACACTTATTTGACGGGTCATCAATTGAAAGGAGAAAGTAGTGCGGAAATGTATCGACAGGTAGGCTAACTATAGGATTAGTTATCAATTTTTGCGACAATTATCCAAAAGATCTAAATCTAGGTGTTATTGACGGGTTGCCGGTGTGTCGAATTAGATTGTTGGGATGGAGACAATGGACTTCCATTGATCTACCATGGACACACATTCACAAGCAAGATTGGATTCAGAAGGGTAAATTAGCAAAGGTGTCTTGGTGTCTATTTAAAATTATTTAATTTTAGGTTGTCGAAATCATCAAGCACTCAGCCTTTGTCACCTCCGATCTTCCAGTCATTCTTTCAATCGAAAATCATTGCTCTGTTCAAGTGCAAGCAAAAATGGCACAAATGTTCAAGGTTTGAAAATGAATAACAAAACAGCTCTTTCGCTGAATTGTCTTTTGTCAAAGTAAAATTTGTGTTCTTTTGATTTTTTCGTTTTGAGCTTATTTTCGCAATGTGAACTGTTTATTCTTAAGACATTTGTTAAAGAAGAGGATAAGCTGGTTCCATGCGAACTAACAAATATTGAAAGAGCTGTCCTTTCTCCATAGCTTTTCTAAAGAAGCTCTTCCAACAATTTGTTGGATAAGTGGAAGTAATGTGGTAGGATCCCTTTTCGTGAAGGTGAAAAAGGCAATTCTCAAAGAATCCCGCTCAACTTATTCAACTTAGGTTTAACAATTGCAGACTTAAAACTTACTAAACCTAGTCGAAGTTCTTGTTTGATTGGTTGGTTTGATTGTTTGTTTGGTTGGTTGACTTTTTTGGCAAAAGATCAATTCAGGGAAAGAGCTAACAAAACAAACAAACAAACAAACCAATTATCCGATAAAACTCTTTTCTTCAGACAATCCTTGGAGATCGTCTTGTCACCTCATTCCTTTTTGACTCGGATTTCACCGATGCTCCAAAGCTTCCTTCACCTCTACAATTGCGCGGAAAGATCCTGATCAAGGTAAGCACATATTTACATCAAAAATCTCTTTTCTTTCATAAAACTGGACTCAAAAATCAATATTTAGAACAAGAAAATGATCTCCGAGCCATCTGTGGGGCTTGCTGAGACGAGATCTCTTTGCCGAGCTGTCACTGATATGCAATTGTCGAGAAAAATCAGCAAGAACAGCTATGAGAGCAGGTTTTTTAAACAATAGAGTTTCTGTAATTACAAAGAAATTTTAGCACAGCTGAAGAAGCGGAAGACGATGATTTGGATGATTACATGGATGATGAAGATCAGGATGATGATGATGGTAAAATTTGACTTGTTTATGTTAAAATGGTGGCCTCAGATTCACCAAAAATGATGAGAGGCGGAAAACGAAGAATTTCAAAGCCCGACTCGATTAGCAGTGATCATTCCGAAGAGAGGAAAGGAGCTGAAACAGTTAGTTTAGAAATAATTGAAGGTGAAAGAAAAGCTTTAGACAACTGGATCATATGACACCTCAAGGGATGTAGAGGACGCGTTTTCCGGTAAATTGAAAAAAGAAATAGAAAAAACACAAAAGATTTAGTTTCGATTTTAGCCCTATCACTGGCAACAGAAAGACCAAGAGGAAGACAAGGATTGTTGGCTCCGGAATTGAGTGATATTGTCATTTACACTCAAGCAATCAAATTCAAGGTCTGTTAGATCAAATAAAGATTTTTTACCGCTTCTTTGACTATTCCATTTTCATCTATGGCTTTTTTCTAGGGCTTTCCGACGACGGATTGGACAAGAAATCCAGAAACGGATCTGTTCTCTCATGGTTTCCCTCCACCATCCCTTTCCGTATCAACGAATCGAAGCCGTTGCAGTACAAATCTCCTCTCAACTCCTTCACCATTGAGAAGGTCTCAAAAAACTCATTTGTTCAAAGGAAATTTAGTAACGGAAGCTTTAGACAAAGAAGTTCAAGCCACATATCTGAAGGACCTGAATCGTCACCAGGTAGTGATCATGGATCAATCAGAAGAGCCAATGCTGGAGCATCTTGTTATCAAGTGACAAGCTTGAATGAGGTAAAGAAGTATCTAATCCTAAAAGTCAAAGAATTTTAGACTCAAGCTCGAAAGTTGTGCCGTAAACATCCGCTAAAGCTCATTCAATACACCAAGGATCATGTATGAATGAAAAGTTTAGCTTTCAAAATAAGTTTTTAGTTGATGAGAACATATCCGGGAGCAATGAGAATCGACAGTTCAAACTTTCAACCACTTCTCTATTGGGGCTTTGGACTGCAAATGGCAGCGTTGAATTTTCAAGTAATTTCAAAGCTACGGGCAAAAATATAGGCAAATCTTTAGACGACCGATGTGATGATGGCACTGAATGCAGCCATGTTTGAGCAGACTGGGAATTGCGGGTGAGTAGATTGAAACGTTTATCTTGAATACTAAAATATCGAACTATTCATTTCCCCATCAATATTCACTTTCAGTTACACTCTGAAGCCTCGCGTGCTCTGGGATGAAACGCATCCCCTCTACCGAAAGTTCAATCCACTTTCGAAAGATCTCTCGAATCAATCGGCTCTCATTCTCACTTTGACAGTAAGATTAATCAGACAATTGAATATTTATCTTTTTTAGGTAATGTCTGGTCAATACGTGTTCCCGCATGCCCATTCCGGTTCGCCATTCATTGAGATTGAACTTATTGGATTACCGGCCGATTGTCAGAAGGAGAAGAGTAAAGTCGTGCAAAGAAATGCGGTAAGCACGAAAGTTATATAAGGCAAGCGGTATCTTTTAAATTCAGGTAAATCCTTGCTGGAATCACACCGTACAATTTCGAATTGTGTTCGTTGAATTGGCCTTTCTGAGGATTGCCGTTTGTGATTCGAATATGAATGGACGAGTGGTGGCACAAAGAGTGGTTCCTGTACGCTGTCTTCGTCCTGGATACAGACATCTCCCATTGAGAACACCCGCTAATCAGCCAACAGGTTAGCTCGTAGTTACATCGGATTTTGAAACCTTTTATCTTCGAAACCTCTTTTCACCTAGAAAAGCCATTTCACAAAGAATTTTATTAAATTTTTCGACTAAATCTATTCAAATCAAACACAATTTTGTTCAGCACTTTAGTACCTTAACGGAAGGTTTATCTTAAAATTGTCAAAATTACGAGGGTGGGACAAATGCGACCTTTTTTGCGCACCTTTTTTTGCTGGAAAAGGCCTTAGAAAAGGTTGTAGAGCTTCAAAAAGGTTTTGATAGAAGGGAATCGTATGCGTAGATTCCGAATTTCGACAAATCAGACCTCGCTGACACGTCAAATTTGGGCTAAAAGGCAAAAACTACGCAACTTAACGCTTTTCCGCAGCTTTTGCCTTTTAGCCCAAATTTGACATGTCAGCGAGGTCTGATTTATCGAAATTCGGAATCTACGCATACGATTCCCTTATATGGAAATATTTTCGAAGCTCTATGGCCTTGCCTAAGGCCTTTTCCAGCAAAAAAAAGGTGCTCAAATGTCCAGGTGCGCAAAAAAAGGTCGCATTTGTCCCACCCCCAAAATTACACCCTTTTTATTTATGAATCAAATTTCAAACGATAGTTTATCAAAAACATTACAAAAGAAATGCATCTTTTTTCTTTTTTAAAGGAACTTATGCAAAAAATATAATTTGTTTAGTAATTTAGTGATTCTAATGCAAAAACATTATTATGTTAAATTTTGAAAAGCGGATTTTCAAAAGATAAACGCTGAAACTTCTTTGAGTTCAACATCGACTTTCAGAGAACGGCTCCCTCTTCATCAGATCAAGATTTGAGCAAGAGGAGCACATCTATCTCCATGAAGAAGACATTCAACAAGCCACCAGCAATTTCGATCACTCATTGGCTTACCAATTTGACACTGTATACAACACTGTGATTTACTTCAAATACAGTACTTTAGATGCCAAGCAGTGTCTGTAAACCGATGCCAATCTTGAAGAAACAAATCTTTGTGCTGAGAATCTCGGGGATTGTTTCTGATGATCAGACGGTGGTTGTACATGGAGAAAGTGGGAGCACTGTGAAGAGTATCATACAACAGGTAGGGAAATGACTAAATGACTAATGAAATGAATCAAGCTCGCTTTTATTATCACCAAAAAACAAGTCGATTTCTCGAGTTCTAGGCTCTGGTGAATGCGGGCAAGAATGGAGATCAAGTTGAAGATTATGTCCTCATTGAGGAGAGTCTCAAATTCGGAGAGTATGATGATGGAGAAAATCAGAGGTGATTGAAATGATAAAATTGTAAAGAGTCATCAAAATTCTAGATTCCGAGTTCTTCCACCAAACGAGCCAATCATGGATGCGGTAGCCCTTTGGAATGGAGTACAAAGGAGATTCTTAGTCCGGAGAAAAGGATCGGTTTGTAGCGGTGCAAAAAACGGCAATGACAAGTGTTTTCATGTAGGATCCATCATCAAGAGCCTGGATCACATCAATCATCAAGAGTACACCGAGTACGAACAATGGAAATAATGGAAATGGAAACGGAACACCACAAGTCACCACAAACGTACCCATTTTTGAGAGAGTCCCTGAGGTGAGGCACCGGATACAGAACTTGAATTGTAACTTCAAAAGTAAAAATAACTTCTAGGTGGTGACCCATGCGATGAAATCCCAATCCTCAACCCAAATCCATGGAAGAAGTTTGGACGTTGATTCAGCTGGAGGAGATTTGGAGCCTGGAGGTATGTTGCTGTCCCAGGTGGAAACTAATAAAAGTCATGTCTTCATGCCGAGAAAATTCATGTTGATAGTAGCTCTAAAATCGATCTTCATTGAACCCCGTTGTTGACAAAACACACATGTGAAACGGGACCAACCCACACTCAACCAATTAACAACCAGCAGTTAACCCCCCGGCTAAGCGCCGAGGTGAATTGCTGACCGATTTGGGTCAATGCATAGTTTACATGAGTCAAAGTTTAGTATTAATTGTTAGCAAATTTACTACAATTCATTATTTTACTAATGAATTTGCATTTCGACAAAAAAAACTCAGTTTGAGAGGCAAATTTTCCCGTTTACCTGAAATCCCTTTGAACTTTTCCCCCATCGCCGCTTTCTCAAAATACAAAAGTTTTTCAAAATGTTCCTAGTGCCAAAATATAAGCAATATAAGCCAAATTCGGTTTTTTCAACGTTGCTCAAAAACAGTTAAAGAATTTTCATTTCTGATTTGACAGGCTAAACCGCTGTAGTCGATTACATATTGTCCCAAAAAGCAGACCGAAACTCCCACTGGGACTCGAGTTCTGAGGTGAACGAACAGATAAAAACACACAAACTTTGCCTCTTATAATAAATAAGTACTAAGTAATATTTACAACAATAATAAATAATAAGATTCTAGGCATGCATCCAAGAGCTCGATCGATGGGTGACACTTTCCTCGTGTGTGTTCACAACGTCTCCGATGAACAACCATACGCGATTCTTCGGGCATCCGTCAATAGCTCGGCAAAAGATATCATCAAACAAGTAAGATTTCTTCGATCTCACTCTAATCATTTCTTTACTCATTAAAATTTAGGTTTTCCTGAAAGCTCGTCGCTTGGACGAGAATGAAGGAGATTTCGTGTTGGTTGAGGAGCTCAACGATAGTCAACAACAAGGATCGAGTAGTGGATTGAGTCAGCCTTGTAAGTGCTACAATACTTCCATAATTGTTCAATTGTTCAAATTTTTACATTCAGCAAGCTCAACAAGTACTGTCCTCTCAGCGCTTCGAGATGTCTCATTGACAAGAAAACGAAGTCAAGAACGTGGGTTTTAAAATGTATTAAAAAATCATAAACTATAGTCTGAACACGATAGAAGTATTAAATGTTTATAAAAATTAATTTAGTGACCAGCAAGAATGGAGTCACAACTCGTGTCCTTCGACCCGATGAAAATGTTTTCAAGGTAAAATTGAAGACAGATTTGATTCATTTATTGTCATTTATTGTTCTTCTTTTAAAGTTCCGTTATAGTTCCTCTATAGTTCCTTTATAGTTCCTTTATGGTTCCTTTATAGTTCCTTTATGGTTCCTTTATGGTTCCTTTAAAGTTCCTTTATGGTTCCTTTCAAGTTCTTTTATAGCTCCTTTATAATTCCTTTATAATTCCTTTATAGTTCCCTTATAGCTCCTTTATAATTCCTTTATAGTTCCTTTAATGTATATCAAATGTCAAATGTCAAATGTTACCAAGATACTTACAATTAGAAACTTTTAAATTCAAATCAAATTTAGGTGCAATCAAGATGGAAAAACTTTGCGCGTTTTGTTTTGGAAAGGAAACGAATCTCGCACGGTTGCATGAGTTCTTTGGAGAAAGTTGCACAGGTGATCAATCTATTCAATTCAATCAATTCAATCAATTCAATCAATTCAATCAATTCAATCAATTCAATCAATTCAATCAATTCAATCAATTCAATCTATTCAATCTATTCAATCTATTGTTCAATCAAATCTAAATCTAAAGATATAGAACTGAACAACAAAAGAGATCAAGACGAAAAAATCTTGTAGGTTGGTGTAATGTCAAGTGCTCACGGCTCTCCGACAGTCTCAATGGCCTCAATGCTTCAACACTCACAGCTAGCAGCCACGAAGAAAACTGAACAGGTAGCAGCATTTTCAACAATAAAAGTCGATTACGAGCGTTTTCTGGAAAAGATACTTTTTAGAAATCGTCATTCTCTTTTTTTAACATTGAATGAATCAAATTTCAGACAAGTCGAAAGATATCGCTCGCCTCGATGAGATCCGTTCCACGAAGACTCTCTCGTTTCGGGAAAAGTCTCACAATGGACGCTGGAAATAAATAATTTCTTCAAAATTCTATTCTCTCTATTGTCTATTTTTGTTTGTTATTTTGAACACATAGCATAATTTTCTTTCAAAGATGAAATTTGAGGTGCAATGCTCAAAGGGTGAACTCATTTGTTTGTGTTAACTTTATGTGCTCTAAATTTTTCTTTTTTCATACAAAATTTTCTTTTAAAATGTCTAAAAAGTCTTTCTTTTCAGAGTTTAAATTTTATTGAGGTACTCTTTGATGGCAAAAAAACACAAGAAAAACATTACAAAATGACCCATAGAAAAATATATAGCTCGTCTTTTGGCAGCAAGTAAAGCAGACTAGAATTCACAACAAATCAGAGATCTTCTTTCCTTTTCAAACATAAATAACTTCATCCTCATTTTTCTGTCGATCTTCACTCAAATAATAAGTCCAGTAAATAATATTGAATATGATAAATGAAGCTGGAAATTGATTTTAATTGTTTTAGAAACATTTACGTCACCTGGAAACGCGAATCGAGAGATCTGATCGACTGTGTGAGCTTTTCGAGAGAATTGGAGAGACTGAAATCGGAAAATTTGACTAGATTAAGCTTCAATGGTGAATTTTCATTATCCCTACCTTACAAACAAGTATTGCATAGTGGCCAGCTGTTTTCACGTGAATTCTTGTCCTTGGACTGTCCTCATAGTCAGCCTCACCGTCTGTGCCTGTGTCTAAATTTGTTTCTGCTTTAAACTGAAAATCTCAAGTTTTTAATAATTTTAAAGTAATTTGAAACAGTTTTTAAATAAGATTTTGAGATAGATTTTGTGTTATCGCTATTCTATGCTCTTTGAAAATAGTATCGCATATATTTTTGGGCTTTTTCATTGCAAAAACTCTAGAAAAAGTACAAATTTATTGAAAACTGTTGTTGTATTTCCAGTTTGAAACTGATAAACAACTTTTTGAATACTTTTAATCGTCTGAGTTCGAAGTTTGACAGATTTTCTTATACTGGTAATAATAATAAGTGGTGAGATCACAGAGCTCACGTAAATTGCGATAACTCAAAAGCTAAAGAAGTTATTTAAAAACTGTAATAAGATTTAAATTCTGTGGAAAACTGGTTATCTTTTGGCTATAAACACTTATGAAATAATAACAATCAGAGAGAATTCAATTAAAAAGAATTTAAAAAGTAGAGAACTTTTGCCGAACCCTGTATAAGCAAATCTCCAAACTTTTCGTATTATAATAAGTAAGATTTTGATAATACTTGTCACACTAACCACAAACAATGTGTCTTCCATTTTCTTCATTTGAACTCTGCGACCGATCGGCCATAACGCCGAACTTGTGAGCTTTTCTCATATAGGAATTCACGACAGCAAACTCGAGTAACACGCCAAAGATGAACAGCATACACGCTGAATTTTGATGAGGATGAGGTTTTGAATGCCGAAAACTTACTCCCATAAAAGAAATCAATAGCTTTAGCATATGAAACAGGCGGAAGACCATAACGAATTCCATTCCCTTGAGTGGATAAAGTGAGAAGAGTTGTGAATGATAGAGAGACTCGAGCTGGCACCTGGAAACTAGTTTTACAGTATTAATTTTTGAGCTCTATCTTGAAAAAGTTTCCCTTACCGCTCGTCGATCAATCCAAAATGAGACCCAAGAGATCGCCACGATTAAGCCAGTCGGAATATAGGACTAAATCCTTTTTGCTATTGCATAATCATTGCTACTTGCTTGGACTAAATGATATCCGATTGCTCTTTTCATCGATAGAACACCGACAAGACAAGAGAAATTACCTAAAGTTTCGTCTGATCAAGTGGGGTTTTCCCCCTTACCTATCCGACTCGAGTTGTGCGTGATTGTGTAATGAAATTCTCCGGAACAAGAAAGACTCTCAGCTGGTCCAAGATTGTATTCGGGTAACCCTAGGAGTTTAAATTTAAAAAGAAAACTAAATTCCTTTTTTTACCAATCTCCTTGTTCATCCGAATTGCTCCATCTTCGAACCAAGTGGCTTTCATCTCCGTTTCAACGTGAGCATCTAAAGCCAGTGTCTGCAAGTTCTTTCAAACAACTTACAGGAAATGATTTTCACCAAACATTTTTGCGAATCCAAGGGATAATCTTTAAGATGTAAATTACAAGCAACATTCAAAGTTACTCTAAAATTCTTTCTTTAGCATTTTAATCGATCGACATCGACATCGACATCGACAATCGACCAAACCTTGTTCCATAAGCAATAATTCCTGTCGGACTGACAAACATATTGAAATTGTGCACCATTACTTCGTGAAAATAGGCTGTTCGAGCATTCGCAAAGTAGAGATCCGGCAACCAGATACTTTTCAAAACATCAGCATCTCAAATTGTATTTGTGTTAGCTAAATTTACGTTTCATTGCGCACCATTTATTAAAACGTAATCCGATTCGTTGTGAGCCATTGCCGGGTCAACCCATGACATGTACATATACAAATCCATATCAAATGTCTAAATAGGGTAATCAGTGGAGATTTTAGCTGATCATCTTATCCACCAACCATTTCAGTGCTTCGAAAATTCCCCATACTTTCCACGTAAAAGCCGACTTTCACCTGCAATGGACCGCCATCTTCTGCCTAAAATTCGAAAGCCATGGCCGACTGGTTAAGAGCTCTGTATCTTAATCGGGAAATCAAAGGTTCAATCTCACCGGCTAGGTTATTGATTCTTTTTTCCATTTATATCAGTTTGAGGACTTAGGCGTTGTGCCTCTGTATTCTTTGTAACACATTATTCTTGTGAATAAATGTTTTTTTTTAAAAAGCTAGGTCATTTAAAGATTTCATATGATGAATTTATTTTCTTGTTTCTGTTGCTGCTTTTGCTGTTTGCTAAATAACCTGACTCACTTTTGGTATTTGCTTCTTTTTGATGGTTTCGTAAATCGGGTGTAAAGCGGTGATTGTGGCAAAGAAAAGGAATATCAAAATCCATTTCAGAAATAATCGGGTCATCTGAAAATGAAAGCAATAAAAGCAATAATATAAGAAAACAAAATATCGAAAAAACGTAGTGCAGCGGAGTAAGGCTGCTGTTTTTGGAGTGAAGCGTGGGAAAGTGGGATTCAATTTCTACAGAAAAATTGATCTTTTTTCAAAGGGAGACTTAAGAAACAAACATTTAATATGGTTGAATTTAAGAAACAAAAAGTTTAGAAGCTTTTTTACAAAACCAAAGACTAAACGATGTTAAAAAGCAAAAGCAAAAAAATGGCACTAATTGAGTTTTTTTCTCTTTATCGGACGAGGAATTCGAGCTAATTTCCCCTGGATTAGACGATCAAGAAACAAAAAGAAATGGGTAGAAAAAGCAGAAATCTGATTTTTACAACATTTTATGGGAGAATATAAAATTTGAGATGAATTAATCTCTTGCAAACTTTACTTTCGAAATCTTATCAAACATTATAACTTTCTTTACAAAATCTCCTTGAAGGTCGTCTAAAATTTATGGCTTTTTTTGAAGAACTCCAGAAGAGAGTCCATTCTGTTTTTTGCTTTCCACGATTCAGACTAATAAAATTGAGGAAAAACCAAATTGAGATTTGGAGAAAAGTTGTGTCTTTCTCAAAAAGATACGCCCATTTCGACGAAACTTGATTGAATTTGAAATGGACAAACCTGGAGAAAATTTAGAAAAGAAGAAATCTATGAACTTTCCAGACAACTTTGAGCTTCAAGTTGCAGAAAAAGATTGCTGAAGCTTTGCAAAGAATTGATAGATCGAGATTGAGCAACACCATAAAAACATAATCATTAGAATCATAATCATAAAAACATAATCATTAAATGATTGACATAATCATTAGAAAAGTGATCATAAAAATTATTCATTGTCTAGAAAAGTTGAGCGTGAGTGGGAAGGAGAAGAAAAGACAAAAATAAGCCTCTATAATTCTCGAGGGATTTCGTTGAAAATGATGCATTGAGGAGACTGAAAGATCACAGATTAGAGTGGGGGTTTTTGGAGATGTTTTGCTCATTTTGAAAGAATTAGATCTACAGATTTTAAACAGCCACCTGTTACTAGCTACTTTAAACAGTTACTAGAGATTTGTGCTAAACATTTCGAACACTTATCTCTTTTTACGTTTTGCTTTTGCTTACTTGATTTCAACAGCATGCTGAACTAAAAACCAACAACAAGACACCCCGTTTCAATGCTAACATTTTAAATTTTGTTCTGAAAACATTTCGAACTGAATAACATTGATTAGAAAGCTTTCCGTGATTTTCTACATGTTTTGGTTAGCTATGTGCCCCCAAGAGACAATTTTTTTTTGTAAACAACAGAGACCCCAAAATCTAGAGTGCATTCAAAAGTTCTTCCAGAAGCCGAGGAAATTTGGTTTTTTTTTGAAAAGAGTGGAACTGAATCAGAGAAAAAGAAAGGAATGACTGCAAAAAGACGAGAGTTCCCATGGGTGCCATCGAATGGGAAAGAAAAGGGAAAAGGGCAAGAAGTAACTCAAGAACAAACTGACGGAGACTGCAGACATTTTTTGGTGATTTCATGGAAGCGAATGCTTTTCGAGTTGAAGAATACAGTTCTTGAAACTTGTAATCGTTGTCTAGTAAGCATTTGATTTAAAAATCAAGCAAAAGCCAGCAAAGCCTTAATTATTTGGTTCCTTAAAAGTTCGTTTCGTCGACTAATCGGTGAAAAATAAATTGGATGACCTTTCTTTAGATGTGTCAAACCTTTGAATAGAATTTGAAAAGAGATTTTTTTTGTTATTTGACATAATCTAATGGCATCAAACTGACCATAATGATAAAATATTTGAAAATAATGATAATATGACTTTATATACTCTTTTTTTGCCATCCAAGGCAACATGAATGGCTTGATAACAAAAAAAAAGACAGAATGTGAGAAAAACCCAATCATTCAGCGAGCGATGCATTATTTTGCGGGTGTCTTTCACCCAAAAAAAACAATCGGTCCAATCGGCGATGCATCAAAAATGCATCATGCACAAAAGTTGACACCCACAAAGTAATAAGTGAATAAAAGGAAAGAATAAAAAGAAAAAGGAAGAAGTAAGGAAGGACGGAAGTGGTAAGAATAGAAAAATATTCATCTAGGTTTTGAGTTTGAATTAGTGCAGCTCTGAGAATGGTTCTGAAAGAAAAAGTTAAAGTTAAGTTAAGCAAATACTCAGTCTCAATAAAGTATTCAAGAATTGAATCAAGTTTTAGATTTTATTTGTTTTATGGCTTTTTTTGAGAAAAAGGAAACCATTGTGCAGATCTGAGTTTTACGCGAAAGGTGGAAGAAAATAGGAAAATTGCAATGGTGAGGGGAAGGGGAGCGAATCCATCCATATGGCTAGACTGGAGAGAACCAAACCAACATGTAATTGGATGTGTGGAGAGAAAAAAGGGGAAAAAGTAAAAAAAAAATAGTGCGATTCATATGACATTTATTTTTCCAGACGAATTGCAAAATGTGGAGTAGACCAGTTGCATAAATGGATAACGAAACGTTGCCTTTCCAGTCAAAGTCAGTCAGAACTGAAATAGATTACTGCAACGGATTTTGAAAATGGATGACGGTAACAAGAATCTCTCAAATTTTAGCACTGCTTTTTGCCGGCTATGACACTCTTTCTTCTTTCCCATTACCCATTACTCTTTTACAGTCCTTTCCGATAATTCCCTCTCAAAAAGGCACCCAATCGACCGTACCAAAAGACCAGATTTAGCCCGCAAATCAAAAACTCTTATTCATCCATTCATTCATTCATCTGTTCTTTTGTATCCAGATTTTCTATAATTGTTAACACTTCTGTCGTTCCAGTCACATTTCCATTCTTTCTAAATTCTGCACTCGAAGATGACTGAGCTGAAAGGAGAATGGATGATTCGACGGATATTGAAGACTGAGATTCGAAAGGATTCTGCTGGAAAAGATGTCAAATATGCGCTCGTTGATTGGGAGTTTGTTTTATTTTGTTAATAGTTCAAATCTAAGGGGGTGGGACAAATGCGACCTTTTTTTGCGCACCTGGACATTTGCGCACCTTTTTTTTGCTGGAAGAGGCCTTAGAAGAGGTCGTAGAGCTTCAAAAAGCTTCAAAAAACTACGCAACTTAACGCTTTTCCGCAGCTTTTGCCTTTTAGCCCAAATTTGACATGTCAGCGAGGTCTGATTTGTCGAAATTCGGAATCTACGCATACGATTCCCTTTTATGGATATTTTCGAAGCTCTACGACCTTTCCTAAGGCCTTTTCCAGCAAAAAAAGGTGCGCAAATGTCCAGGTGCGCAAAAAAAAGGTCGCATTTGTCCCACCCCCAAATCTAATGCAAATTCAAACATTTCAATTTCAACTTGGTTTCAGAAATTCGTGGATTCCAAGGGCTGAACTTTCAAATGGAACGGAGAAAATTTTGGTGAGTTTAGGGCAAAGATTTTACCGCGTAAAATCCCCAAAAAATTAAAGCAAAACGTTTTTTTAAACTTTTTAATTCATTCCCCATTTTAGCTAAATGATCACGTCAAAGTTCTCGGTCCGATTGAAAACAATAGAATGAGGATGCCAAATATCCAAAACGAGTGGGCAATTGAGATCAAAAATGAGTGAGTCTTTCAAAGTTTTCTGTTCTCTTATTCATCACTTGTATTATTTATTTAACATTCAGAAATGGAACATCAGAAAAACAACGACTCCCCTACAAAGAACTGAATGAACGCTTTCCGGGATCGCTGCTTAAATACTACGAGACGTTGGTAAGGTTTAATTTTAGACAAAGAAAGTTGTACAAATATAAAACATAAATCGGTTTTTTCTTGACACATTTGCGACGATATAGCCCACCAATGAGCCGTAGATTTAGCACTTTTTTGAGGCCAATTGGACTGAAAATTTGCAATCAGGGGTTTTCGAGGATAAGGAATTCGAATCCGTTATTAATTTTTAAAGAAAACTGCGCTATTTTTGATATTTCATTCGGTTTAATAGCTATCGTCCGAAACGGCAGCCAAGCCAAAAATGATTTTGTCGTGAATGTGCTAAGATTTGACAGAACTATCTGCGATTAACGATTAAGCGATTAACGATTAACCAATCTAATTTAGGTGCAATCGTCTATGAGAAATATCCGACTCATGCAACAAAAAAAGAGTTTACGAGAAAAGGAACAGGTAAAATTTCACTAAATCTGTCATTTCAATTGAAACTTTAACAGAAATTGAAGCAGCACACCGAAATATCTTCTACGTCTTCTACTTCATTGAACGTTGGATCTTCAGTTGACTTAAGCATAAAACCCAAAGAGTCAAATGTAAAAGAGTCATCGGTAAGTTTTGGAGAAAACCTGTTTAACATTTTCTAGGCATAAATCATCTTTAACTTTGGAGCAAGCAATGGCTTTTAGGTACCCAGAAGATCCGTGGAAAAACGAAGTTCTCCATCGACTTTTGAATCCAATGATGAACATGGAAATACCAAGGATTCACCAAATGAACAAGAAAAGGAAAACACGAGGAAATTGAGAGTTTGTTGATGTCTATTTTATATAAAAAGTCTTTCTAGAGAAAACCGGTGGAGTTGGATACGGGAGAAATGCAGGCCGGGTAGGTTTAACGGTTTTATTGAAAACTAAGAAACAGTGCAAAGACTACACTTATAATTAGGCTCAAAAAAAGTTTGCCTGCGATTGGTAGAAGATTAGAAGATTTTTAAAGCTCAAGTTGATATTCTAGAACATCACACCGACGTCAGACACCAAATCGCACTTGTCGTTCCAGCGTCCATTATGAGGAACAACTTTAAGCTTTATGGAGTAGGCGAATGAGCTCGGACCGGTTAATTTTACCTTTATAAACATATCACAATGTTATTTAGAGTGTGTTCCTTTAATCTTTAAAACACTTTAATCACAAGGAACACACTCTAATGTTATTTTTAATGCATGTTTGTATATAGAAATGATAATAAAAATTTATTCC